AAAAAATCCAACTCTCTAGGATTTTTTTCCACCGATCGCCCTATTTTTGTCTAATTTGACTGGGCTACTAAGCGTGTTGGCCACCTTAAAGGTAAAAGTCCGGTCAGACAAAAAGGTGTTTATCCATAAAAGCAGTTGATCATTTATACCATAATGTTGCAATTTATACAACAAACGTTTCTTTGGTACCCTATCAAGTGCCTTTGAAAAGTCAAGATAGACAACATCCACACAGTTTCCCGCATCCAGGTCCTTAGTCCAGTCGTTAAAGCTAAAAAATTAGTAGAGGTTGATTTCTTAGATATAAAACCGCGCTGTTCTAACGGTATTATATTACAAAGAGTGAAAAACTTAACCATTTCACCATAAACGATGGATTCCATTATTTTAACAACTAAACTATTTCAACTAACAGGACGATAGTTGTCTGCATCAAATTTAGCTCCTTTTTTATAAATTGGTCTAACTAGTGCTGTTTTCCAATCATTTGGTAATTTACCGGCAACAAAAGATTGATTCATGAGAATGGATAAGGGTTTGCATAAAGAATTTGCGCAGTTTCTTAACAGACTAGCTGTTATATTATCTTGGCCTGGAGATTTTGTGACATTTATTTTCTTCAACTTGTCCAAGACAACTTCTTCGGGAAAGTTAATTATATTGAGCTGTTTGGCGTTAGAATTACTACCTAGTTTTGGTAACGACATGTGTGACTCCTCAACAAAAACTCTGGAAAAAGTTTTCGCAAAAACTTTTGCACACTGCGAATCATCATTTGTAATCTATCCATTATCATCTTTAACCTGCAGAGTTTTGACTGGACCCGATAACCTAGAGCGAATGTACTTAAACAAAGCCTTGGGATTTTTTGATTCAGCAATATGCATTTCATACCTAGTCTTAGCTGCTTGGATAATGGAAGACAGCTTGTTGGAAAAAGTTCGATGCGCCGCATAATCGTCAGCATGTTTAGTGCGTTTATATACTCTCCACAGCGCTCTCTTTTTCCTAATTTGTCGAAGAATGTAGTTGTTAATCCAAGGTTTTTTTGACGATCTTTTAATCGTTTTGAAAAAATCTCCAAATATAAACAACTTATCGTAGGAGTTGGTTAACCTTGTTAGCGATTCCAAAAGGATTTTGTCGTCATTAAAATTAGTGTTTGGAGGCCGATATATCCCAGAACGAATGTTACATTAGAGTTGCACACTTTCAGAAAAAGTGATTCAACTCCTTACTCCGGGCAATGAACACATTCAAGGTTACAATAATTCGCATAAAGCTGAAAATTGGTACGAATGTTGGACACCCCTCACCCCATTATAAAAGAAATGTGAAAAGTCCCCATCGATCCCACATCTGCAAAAAAAGTTATTCAAGGTCAAATGTTGCAAAAATGGGATTTTTACATTTTTCAGCCAAGCGGTAAGTTTTATCATAAAAATACATCTGACAAAAATTGTAAATTCTCTATAAAAAACGTTCCTATACTTTTTTTTTCTAAGAGTAACCATTTCTGAGATATAGCGCTTTAAAAAGTTGTGTTCTTCATAATATGCACACGTTTCCACGCCAACTGTGAGGTAGTGTACTTGACGCGTTTTTTTAACGTGATTTCCTCTGTAGGCCTATTTCACGATCTATTGAGGTTCTGTTTAATTAAGAAATATTGTATCAAATGACAAATGGTACTATTGGAGATGACAAAAGCTATGTAAATTATGAGTAATATAGAGGAAAATTATTCGTCTAATTGATAGTTCAAGTACTTCAAGTGTACTGTCTTCTTCGTCTTCTTCTTTTCTTTCATCTTCTTCTTCTTCATCTTCCTGCTGGGTACAAGTAAATTGTTCTAAGAGCGATGAATCAGATGTCTCCTCGCAGATAAAACAACAATTTTTAAATTGTTTGAAAAACAAGACTTAATTAATTGTGCTGAAATACTCCTAACAAAAAACGAGTGCAATTGGCATGTCTTCCCCCAACCTCTGTTTCTGCTCAGCAACATCTACAGTATGTTATTGAAATGCGTTAAGAAAATTATTTAAAAATTAAAATTTAAACGGTGATAGAACTCATCAAAACAAATTACTTTGCTATTTACCATTTTTTCGAAAAATCTTTCTAAACCCAGATAAAATTTTAATTAGTTTGAACGTAAATTCTAGTACCCGCCAATGTCTCCCAGCGTCCATTAAAAGCGAAAGGAGAAAAAAACTTTGATAGCCAAGCAAAAACCAATTCTTTATTCGTAGTAAGAAAGAGTGACATTCAAGTTACGCACCACACTTGATCAAGGGCACTAACCTTCAAATTAAATGATCGAAATGACGCCCTCCGTTATCGATGTATGCTTGTGCCCTTCGAGCCATAGAAGCTTTAGTTCTCACCAACAATCTGTTTTAAATGGTCCCATAGAAAAAAGTCACAAGGATTTAAGTCCGGTGAACGAGCTGGCCATAAAACTGGTCCATTACGCCCTATCCACCGATTTTCTAAATTTGAACTTGGCGACCGCGAAATCTCTCCAGCAGCATTCGATAAAGATTCCCTATAGATCAGCACCATATCTGTTAACTCCGGATTAGTGTACTGCACCATTTTTGACGATAATTACGGTAAATTCACTTTCCAATAAATTGTAAACACGGCCGCATGTAGGTGAAGGACGTGACTAAATTGTGTCAGTAAGTTTTTGCAAGACCTATCTGGGTTTTTGCCGTATTTACTTTTTTTGCGTACCGTGCCGTCCATAAACGACTCGATGACACGGAATACGGTGAGAATAAATGTAAGTATAAATTTGAGTTTTAGAAAAAATGGTAAATATAGAAGTAATTTGTTTTGATGAGTTCTATCACCGTTTAAAGTTTCTTAACGCTTTCAATAACATACTGTATTTCGGGTTTACTATCATGTTCAAGTGTGGCTTGGTAATAAACTGGACCCAGAAGACTGGGGTTGGAAATTAGTTAATAATACATTGGGACCAATTCAGACTTTATTCCCACCTGCACCGGAAAAACTCCTCAATACAATTTTTGCAATTGCAAGAAGGGGTGTAATGCCAAATGTGGTTGCAAAAAAGTTGGATTGTTTTGTTCATTAGCATGTACCAGTTGTCAAGGCCAATCATGCTCCAATGTTGAGTCGTTATTAGGAGAAGATGCTTACGATATCTGCGAGGAGACATCTGAGTCATCGCTTTTAGAACAATTTACTTGTACCCAGCAGGTAAATTTAATTTAAAATTGGCTAAGATGAGATCTGATACATAAATACACACTCCACCACCTTTTCTACTACATATTTCGATCTTTCCTAAAAATAGTGTAATTGTTTAACGCAATTAAAGCATCAGGTATAACCAAAGACAACCATGTCTCCGTCAGTATTACAAAACCAGGTTTTTCTGAGCAAATGTAAGCAATCAATTCATTATATATATATTACATATTTAGCTAACAGCGACGCTACGTTAGAATAGATTATAGTATTAGTAAAATAATGCGAATCAAAATTAAAAAGAAAACTGCAAATACCTGTAAAAAGAAAAACAAAACAAAACAATGTAGAACTAAGAGGCAATTACTTCAGGATGCATGATATCAACATCTACTGAATCGCCCGTTTTCTCGTTTTCTCTCGTATTCTAGTCTGCGAGGTACCAGGAAGCAAAGTTTCGTTAACTTGAGAACCATTTTCAGCGGTGGTTGGACAATCGCTTGCAAAGTGACCAGATTCTCTACACTTAAAACACACATCATCATAAGATAAAAAGATCCTATAATTTGTATCTTTGACTTTTAAGACCATAGAAGAAGGCAATTCAATAGACTCATCTGGCTGAACAAAGACTTGTCTTCGAAAACTACAAACATGATTAAATTCCGGAGCTTCACTTCCAAACCCTGCTCTAAGAAACGACATCGGAAAGGCTAATGAAAAACCCACTATTTTAATAAGATCTTCGACTATAGTGTGAGGAATAGCTGAACAAACCCTGGATAGAATAATTCGCTTAGCAGGGTTAATCAAACGACGTATATTAATTCTATTATCATTAATATCTATGATCGGGTGCTTTGAAATAATTTCGTCAACAAAAGAAACGTTACTCAAATAAATACCAAATCTTTCGTTGGACATTCGTGATGCAAAAATGATGTTTTTGCTCTAACTATATTAGCTATAGCTCGAAAATAATCAATAAGCTTGTAATCTTGTACACTACTAAGAACTACAGCTTGTTCATTATCCGGAAACAGTGACGTAGACGCAGTCATTTCAGAAAACTAAACCATAAAATAAACAAAAACAAGAATTGCTCCCCGTGAAGAGACCAGCTGCACGCCTCTGGCGAGCACGCCAGCACAAACATGACGCGTACGTACGCCAATCGACTACTACTACGAATCCCAAAATTTATTATCAGACGAACGGAAAACTAAACTCGACTTTTAAGCAATCACGCAACAATGTGAAAGCGAACAAACTTACCACCCCAAAGATGTGAGCAGTCCATCGAAAAGATATGAATTTGTCTCAATAATACCCCTTGAAAATCACTTCAATTCAGGAAAACTTTTATCACTCGCGATTTGATTAGTATTGAAAATCCTTCGGAAAATCTTTAAATTCAGCTACAGATACTGAACAAAACATCTTCAGATAACTTAAATGAGTCAACAACAAATTGATTTTTAAAAGTAAAGGTGAATCAGAGCACAAATGTGTGTTAATATTTTAGCTTTATCATCTTGTTTCATGTTTTAATTATTACGATAGCAAAATTAAAAAATTGAATTTTTAGTTGATAAATAGGCTGCTATTGTCCATTTGTAAAAATGAATATATGCATAAACATAAATAATCAGGAGTACGTATTAGTACGTGTGCATTTATAAATTCTTATTTGTTAACAAAATAATCATAATTGCAAAATTTAAATCGATTAAAAATCAACTGTTTCAAAATAAGGATTTAAGAGTGGAATATTTCGAAAAACATTCAGTAGCAAATATGAACGACAACGCTGAACTTTATTCGGATTACGGTGATTTACAAAGACGTGACYRCGATTACATTTTGAAAAAGTATTCAAATTACATAAAAGTTCCAAAAAATGCAAGTGCATTAGACATTGGGATGGCCGATGGCACCCTTACTTCAAAAATCTTGTTACCAAAACTGCCTGATGATTTGGAAAAATTAATAGGATTTGATATTTCCGAAAACATGGTAAATTACGCCAGGAAAAAATGCTTGGATCAACCAAAACTTGATTTTGTTCAAATGGATATCACTTCTGAAAAAATTCCCTCGCAATTTTACCAATATTTCGACAATATTTTTTCGTTTTATTGTTTCAATTGGGTCCCGGAGGACAGGTACATAGTATTTAGAAGTGTTGGAATCAGTGTTAATTGTTTTTTAGATTCCCGCAAACTATGAAAAATATCTACAACTTGTTGAAACCTGGAGGCCAAATTTTCATTACTATTGTTGCAAATAGTCCTCTTTTTGATTTTCTTAAGCAAACTTCTTTGAACGAAAAGTGGGCCCCAATTATGTCCAATGTTGATAATTACTTGTCAATTTTCCACAATATAAAGAATCCTGAAGCTAAATTAGAAAAACTAGTGACAGATGCTGGTTTTGTGAGTCAATTGTGCACAATTGAGAATTTGAGTTATGTTTATCCAAATTTCACGTATTGGTGGGGTACGTATAAATTTGATTTAAATGTTAGGGTTATTTGATATTTTCAGATTGGGCAATGTCGATCAATCCATTTATCAAAGAACTGGCCAAAAATGACGCTGATTTATATAAGCAAGACTACATGAAAGAAGTGAAAAAACACAAATCAATTTCGATTCAAGATGAAAAAATTACTATTGTGTACACAGCTCTTGTTGTTTGTGCTTCAAAACCATAATTTCATAAATAAACGATTTATTATGTAACTCTTTTCGCTTTCATTTCTAATGATAATAAATTTTAACTGAAAGAATGAAAATAAAAGACAAGTTTGTGACTGGCCCAGAATTGGGTTAAATTTGAAATTTATTTGTACTTTCTATTTAAAATAAGGTCATGGTCTATCCTGGTCCACTATTGAAATAAACAAATCCTAAACTACAGTCCCCATTTTCACCTACATTCAGTGACCAAAAGAGAAATTTTGAGAAAGGTCATTAACATTCTTTTCTATTGGAATTTAAGTCAAAGTGTTATGTGGTTTAAGCGCATCTGTGTCTATATTTTATTAAAGGAAAATATTCAACTCTTCTGTTGTTGCAAAACAACTTGAGAGCTTGAAGGTGACCGCGGGGTTGAAGACCCTGTAACTAACCTATCCTATTCTAATGCAGAGTAGCTCTGTCTTGATAGACCACCCCTTACCCCACCTAGACAAAAAAAAAGTCATCAACCCTTATAAAATAGAACAGGTTTTCGACTATTTTTGCACGTGGTTTGAAACAATTATGATTTTGTTTGAGATATGAAGAGGAATTTAAAACAGCCCTGACCAGACACAATTACTTTTTTTGTCGAAAATCCATTTTTTATTTCTTTTTAAACCGAGTTGGATGACCGGTTGGATTGAATTCGTGGGTCCTAAACTCTTATATGTTGTAGTGGTCAGTTCATTCACTTATTTATAAACACATTTTGGGTCCTCGAGAATCTTTAAAGCAAAAAACAGTCTAAAAATAACTCGCCTATTGTTGAAAAACACTGAAAGATAGGTGAAAGGTGTAATTTTTAAATAACAAAAACTAATTGTGTTTTTTCTTCTGACGTCGAGTTTTAAACAGTGTTTGCAAATTTTTGTTAATAAATTTGTGTGTTTGGGTGAATCTGTGACAATTCTCCAAAGATAGATTTTCGAATAATGTAAAAATGGTGAATTGAAAATTACTAAAAACTGTGATTGATTTTTTCGGGAATTCCTCGGGATCTGTTCTCGTCAAGCTTGTTTGAGATGCGCTGAAACTGAAAATTAAATTCTGGTTCGCCCCTCTCGAAGTTATAAAAGCTTCGGAAGACCAAAACCCAATTGTTAGTTGACACCAAGCACTACGTCTATTTTCTTAAAAAAATGAACAAAGCTTCGATGTATTCAAAATACAGCGGTTTGCAAAAAAACGATGCGTCTTTTGTAATCGACAATTACTTGAGACTCATCAAGTGGAAGACCAACGCGAATATTTTAGATATCGGCTCAGGTGACGGCAATGTAATCTTCGAGCTTTTGCTCCCGAAAATCCCCAAAGATTTCGGAAAATTCATCGGAATTGATATTTCGGAAGAAATGGTMCGGTTCGCGAAAAATCAGTGCGACGATCCAAAAATCGATTTTTTGCAAATGGATATTTCGTCGGAGATTTCGCCTGAATTTCACGAATATTTCGATCACATTTTCTCGTTTTATTGCTTGCATTGGGTGGTGGAACAGAGGTGAGTACGGTCTTGATTTTTTTCTTTAGTCAGGATTAAATTTTAGACAAGCGATGAAAAACATGTTTGATATGCTGAAACCAGGAGGCGAAATGCTTTTGACATTTCTTGCAAGCAATCCGATTTACGATATTTACGAAGGAATGGCAAAATCGAATAAATGGGGACCCTACATGAATAATTTAAAGAAATACATTTCACCCTATCATCACTCCGACGATCCTGAAACCGAGTTGGAGAATTTGCTGAAAAAGGAGGGTTTTATTACTCATTTGTGCAGAGTGGAGAATCGGTTGTACACTTTTCCAAACTTTTCAGTTTTATCAAGTAATAAGAAATTATGTGCGGTTTCAAGAATAATTTTTTTTTTCAGAATCAGTTTCAGCGGTAAATCCGTTCATTAAAACATTGCCTGAAAACGAAATCGACACTTACATCGAGGATTATCTCAAAGAAGTGCGAAAACTGAAAACGATCACAATCGAAACATGCAATAACAACGACAATGAGGAAAAAATCCACGTGCCTTACAAACTTTTCATCACATTTGCCTCAAAACCGGTCTAATTATTACAAGAAAAGTAATCAGGTAGTAAGATGAGTACAAATTATATTACATTTTATGATTATTTTTATATCTTTTTTGTTATTTAATGAGTATTAATGAGTATTAGACTTAGAGTTAGTCTCAACGTACTGAACCTCAATAAGTACAAATTATATTATTAGATGTAGATTATTTTTATATTCTCTTAAGGCAATTAGATTATTTTATAATGTATAGTATTTATAGACACTATATAACGTCTGATAAATTGAAGATATACATGGGTAAACAGTCTTTTGTGTTCGTAGTTTGCCGACTTTTTGCCGACGTATTTATTGGATTTACCAAACCTTAACTTATTAATACGCTTTTGGGATGGTTTACAGGATAGTCATTTTTAAAATGAACTTATATTTGTATACACAAATACAAAATTTTAAAATAAACATAAACAAAACATTTAAGTGAAATGTTTTCAAAAAAATCATTAGTTTTAGAACTCGCACACCAGAGAAAAATGCCATGTAAAGTAAGATACCAGGAACATAGACAAATGTTACAAAATTCTTTTTCTTTCTTTGAGTTATTTCTGTTGGAAAAACAATTTTCCATGTATTTTTGCTGCAGAGGAAATAAGAAAGCTATAAAGCTGAATTGTAAATATGTTTAACATTATTTTGTGGCTTTTATTGGCAAAATTTTTATATCTTCTATGTAATTATGAAAAAAACATAAACAACATCATCAGTAATATACTACTCGTAAATAGACAAAAAAATATCAAATGTCAAAAAATAAATGTAAAATTTTTTAAACATTTTTCCATGTTCCTAGTTTCTTATCTTACTTGAAATTTTTCTCTGGGGCACGAGTTCTGAAACGTTCTGTATTTCCTATTGCCAAAGCAACACTTTGACGTATAGAAAAGGTTAATTATTGCTTTATTGACTAAATAAAAAATAAAAATAATTAATATAAATAAAAAAATCCCACGTTAGACACTCATTGCCGTTTTACATTTTCATTACTTGTATTTTTTATTTGCTAGAAATTCAAAATTCTTAGCGTGTTTTTATAAGCGTCAATATTAATATATTTTTCTACAAAAACGAGAAAAGCGCAACTTATACCTTCAAATTTTATAAAATGAGTATAATTAATTATTTTTGGATTTCTCGTTATAGTTTTGTTAACAATCTCACTATTTATTATTCATTACTAACTTTTGTTTTTAGGCAATCTGAAAATTAAATTAAATAAAGTAAGCTCTGTGGAAAGAATAGAATATTTTTATTCATTTTAACTAAGACGAACAAACGACAGATAACAAAAAACTGTTCAATTTTGATCAAAGTATTGTAACGTCTTTAAAAATAATGAAATCATGGCTCGGAGCGTTTTTTATAATCCAACCTTTATAATTCCTTTATAATTCTCATGCTTTCCCATACGCAGAAATGTAAATATCACTTATAAATAGATATCTTTATAGAACTGATAAACTAAAAATTATATAATCTGATTGGTTATGACTTATGAGTTATGACACTGTCAATTGTCTGTAATTCTTACAAAAACTCATTAATTTAATCTTCTAATAAAATTTATTTCATATAATAAATACAAGATTTTGCATTGCAAAAACCAAGCCACTTGAATAAGTGTCAGCAAACAATTTATATAATATTGTGTAAAATACCTATTTTGTGGTGACATTTTTCTTACAACTATTATTTCTTGTATATCATATATAATCATAACCATAATCGTCATCATATTCTTCCGGTGTGCAGAAAAAGAATTCGATCAAGTTTAAAATCGGTCCCCTTGAAAATGGATTAAAATAACGTCCTCTCTTGTCCCTCAAATAAGGATAACGTTTATAATTGAACATTTCGTTTGTGGTCAAATTCATGCAGGCGTGTAAAATCTATAGAACATGATTTAATTTTTGTTTAAACCAATTTGATTACTTACCGAAGTACACGTCAAAATCCATCCCAATCCTGAAAAAACAAACGCTTCAAAAAGTCCCAAAATGTACAAAATGCCAAACCCTTCAATGGCTATACAGTACGTAGCGAAATAAATCGTAAAAGAACAATTTATAGCAACACTCATAACAAACAGAAAGAACCAAGTTCGGTTCCTCAAACCCACACAATTGTAAATAAAAGGGCAATGGTGGTCAAAATAAGATATACACCGGTTGCAAATTCTACAATGTTTAGCCCTCAAAGGTCTCAAACATCGACAAGTGTGACAAAGTCGGTTCAAAACCGCGTATCTCTTCTTCCATTTGTCGTAATAAGGGATCTGTTTTATTGCTCGATGGTACGAATCGGTGTTAACCGGGATATAGCCGGGGTTTTTTCGATTTGCTGTTATCCAACATATCCACATAACAATATTCCAATAAATGAAACAATAATGTGACCCTCGTAGAATGTTCCAAGTTATGGGAATACACCGAATGACGTACATGGGGTACCCCCAGAGTAATACTGAACACATGAAGAATACGAGTGGTGCTTTCGAATTCCCTGCTTTCCCGAATAAAAGACCCCAAACTTCGTTGACTGGAGGAAACCAACTAGATCGACGTTTCTTCTCCGATTCGAGGACTTGGACGATGTCGCTGTGACGGTGACTTTGGGCCAACATTAAAGGCGTTTTGTCGTTTTTATCCAATGGTTCCAAATCAATATTACTCTAAAAACTGTCTTTCACGGTTAATTCCCAAATTTAGGTTTTGTACCTTCTCACAGAGTAGTTTCACACAAGTGACACTCCCTGAAAGACACGCTAGGTGCAAGGGGGTCGACCCAAAATGATCCGGTTTTTGCAAATTAGCCCCCGAGTAGACTAACAATCGAATCAAGTCCGCATGTCCCTTATAAGCCGCCCAATGCATTGCTGTATCCCCGTTAATATCGACCAAATGGTTCAAAGCTCCCATTCCTAACAAAAACGCTGCTGTTGCAGTCCTCCCGAACATGCAAGCCGTCATTAAGGGGGTCAGCCCTTTGAAATCAGCAGCATTTACTCCAACTCCCGCTTGGAGTAAAACCTGAACTACAGCTGCATGTCCCTTGCGACAGGCCCAATGTATGGGTCTTGGTCCTTGCGTTCCGAGACAGGGTAAGTCAATTGGGGCTCCTCTGTCTACCAAATACCGCATTATCTCCACACTGCCGTCCAGAGCGGCCCAATGAGCCGGCGTGTAGCCCCATTCATCACGTTCTCGCAGGATTTGCGTGCCAAGGTTTTCGACAAGTTCCTCGATTTCAGAGAGTTCGCTACAAATGGGGTGTTTTCGCTGGTGGCAAAGTGTGAGGAGACTTACCCAGATTTGACTACGTCAAAGATGGATTTGTGTGAAGGTTCAGTTATATCGGCTTCGGTATTGTCTTTGTCGTGACTGACGGAAGCAGCGGGATGGTCGGTGTCTGCTACCATGTTACAGGACGTTTGGGGCAAAGCCCACACGCTACGGGCCGTGCCCGGGCTTGGAAACACTTTGCAAAGCGTTCTGACGACTGTTTACCACTCTGGTGTAAATTATTTATGATTGATTTAATGCAGATATTTGCGTAGCGTGCTAATAAGTTCTTTAACTTGGGTATTGATTTTTCAAGAAAGCGCGCGCAGAGATAACTCAAAAATAGCAAATTTTGACTTCAAAAAAAGTAAACAAAACTCTTAACACAAAAGATTTCAACAAAATTAAATAAAACAATGCCACTATATATTTTTTACGAAAATTTAAGAAAAAAACAAATTAGGCTTAAATTTGTATTTATTTTATAATTGTGTTATAATTATTTTATAATTTTTTCAAGTACATTTAGATCAAAATTACATGACGTCATGACGATAATTATGACAATTTTTAACAATAATTAAAAATCATAATTAACAATAATGTTTCAAACTTCTTTGTTATCTTATTCCACGTGATTAAAATAAGTTTGAAGACTTTGTTATCAACGACTACATTTCATTTTCACTATCTCAACATTCTTCAAAACAATAATAGAGATAATTAAGTTTTACATTCAAAAATTTTGTTTGTACGCGCCATAAAAACTTGCGCGCGCATTATTTAATTGTCAACTTCAGCTGATAAAATGTCAAAAAATGTTGTCATGTCAATTTCTTATCACTCAAAATTGACATAACATTTAATTTTATCACAAAGAAATAGCAATGTAAGGTAATAGAATGTTCAATAAATAAACCGTGCATTTCCAATACAATAATGGCACATTCCGTTAATACCACTCCGCTTCTCCAAGAAGTGGACTCTTCAGACAATGAAAATGATATTTTAGAAAATACTGATGTTGTTATACGGGATAATAAGCCTTTATTTAAGTCAGCTGAACCTAAGGACAAGTATTACATGGCGTATCTAATATTTTATTTGTTGGGGATGGTGACATTGCTTCCTTGGAATTTTTTTATAACAGCTGATGATGTGAGTATTTTGGCTTTGATACCCCTTTTGTAGTACCGTAAGTGTTTTTTAGTACTGGTTGTACAAGTTTCGCAACATTAGCAATAATGATACTTACTCAGTAAGTAAGAGAACCCCTTTACAAACATGTTTCACTTCATACATAAGTGTGGCTTCAGCAGTTCCAAATTTAGTGTTTTTAGTTTTAAATACTGCACTGACGCATCGGTAATTCTTGCAAGTTTTATTCACAAATTTTATTAATTTGTTTTGTCCCAGAATATCACTTCATAAACGCGTCATAGGATCACTAATTGTTATGTTAGGTTTATTTATAATGACATTGGTTTTTGTCACTACTAATACAGATAAATGGCAAGACACCTTCTTTATTGTAACAATCACAACAATTGTACTGTTGAATGGTATACTCACAAAATTGAAGAAATTAAGTAATTTCTTGTTCAGTTTGTAGTGCCGTTTTATCTGGCAGCATTTTTGGGGTGGTTGGACGCTTTTGTCCCATCTACATCACCGCCACTTTGGGTGGACAAGCTTTAGGTGGAATTTTTGCAGCCTTGGCTGAAATCGCCTCACTGTCAATTGGAGCGTCTTCAGTCCACAGCGCATTCGTTTATTTCCTTATCGGCAATTTAACGATTCTAAGTTCTATCATTTGTTATGTAATTTTAACAAAAAGCGTCTTTTTTAAATTTCATTTGTATGAAAGGACGATTGCCCAAAATGAATTTGAAAACGAACTACTTAGGCCAAGGATAATTGAACATAAAATGATTTTGAAGAAAATATGGACTCATGGCTTGTCTATGTTTATGGTTTTTGCCATCACACTCTCAGTTTATCCAAGTGTTACTGTTTTGGTGGAGTCAGAAGGGAAGGGGCAAGGGCGCATATGGAATGGTTAATAATTTTGTTAATTAAAGGGATTCTTACTGATTTTTTTATTTCAGATGTTTATTTTGTGCCCACTATAGCATATTTGTTGTTTAGCGTGGGGGATTACCTAGGCCGAATTTTGGCGGGAAGGATTCAAAAGGTTTCAATCATGTGTTGTTAAAAAACAATTAAACATTTTTTTCTAGCCCAAGAAAGGTTATATTTTGCTAATTTTGAGTACAGCCAGATTTGTTTTTATTCCACTCTTGATGTTGTGTAATGCCCAACCTAGGTCACACTGGGCCGTTGTTTTTGACCACGATTATGAATATATTACAATACTATTTCTTTGTGCATTATCAAATGGTTACTTGGCTAATATAACAGCTATTTGTGCTCCTAGGTAAATAAATATTTTTTTCTTTCATTTTTTAAACTATTGAAATTTCTAGAGTTGTAGAGTCACATGAAAAAGAAACGGCGTCATCTATGATGACTGTTTTTATGGGCATTGGTCTGGCTCTTGGATCTGGAATTAGTTTATACATGGTGAAGCTACTCTAATACTTAACATTCTTTTTTATCCTTACTGCCAGTAATTGTGATATTTATTACGTGTGACCTAAATTTACTCATTAGGGTTAGAATCATCTCTCTGGACGTAAATAAATCATAGTTAAAAAATTGTTTTATTTATTTTAATGTGACTGAAAATAAAATAGCATACAAACTTCGGTTGGAATTTTATTACATCCTCGAGCTTCATCTAATCTAGACGCTGAGCCTCTCGGACAGATAACTTAAACCTTTGGTGGGATTCGATATTTCCCAACTCTGTTGTCATATACTATTCTTTTCCAACGAGAAATAATAATAATGATTATTAATTATTGGCAAACGGAATTTTTAAAGTACAATAGTACATTTTGGATTTAGAGGTTGGTACAGAAAGCAGATATGTATTTGAAAAAGATAAATTATTAGAAAGTATAGATAGGTAAATACTTAATCTATTTGTTCAAACCGACTTTGCGTTATGCTCATTTCTTTCAAATAATAACGATTTATTAGAAGTATTTTCATTTGATATTTTGTTAAAGTTTTCCCCAGACGTCTATTTATACTTTCCAATAATTTTAGAATATCATTATTGTTTCAGGTTTCCACGATTTTACTAATGTAGGTCTATGCAGAGTGATTCACGATGAATAATGAGCCTGACCAAATTCTCGATGCAACCAACATTACATTTTCATAGGTCACGTAGATTTCAAAGATTATTTGTAATAAATATGAAATCATAGCGAGCACATCACTTATAATTTGTCAGTTTTGACATTAAAATAATGAAAAACAGAAGTAATTGAAATACCAACACAATAGTAAATAAGATTTACAGAAGGCACCCATTCAAGCTAGAGTCCCAGTGGTACCCTTTGCTTAGTAACTTAACAGAAACCCAATTTGCTCAAAAACTAACCTGATTGTGTCAGAAGGTGCTCTTTTTTCGGGATATCATTGGGAATGTATCAAGTGATACATTCTTCAAACATTCTCCATAAGCTAAAATCATGTCAGTCTTCTCTTTATTGGAATAAATCCACATTTTGCTCAGTTTATAATAAATTTGTAGCGTTTGTCAAAAATAACAATGATGATGATTGATGATAATAATAGGAATCGTGGATTCAAATTCAAATGTTGCAAAGCAATTGGCGTAAATGTAATGGTGGTTGCATCGAGAATCTGGTCAGGCTCATTATTCCTCGTGAATCACCTTGTAAACCCTGTTCATAAATTAAAGAAACACAACCTGTTGCATTATGTTGGTGAAAAAAATAAATCCCCTATGCAAGATTTTCACACTGTTAGCTTGGTTGCAAATTTGCGTCAGATTTGAAGTTTTTGACTTTCATGTCAAATTTCATCAAAATTCAGTTTTGAATATTTATTTATTCCGCACTAAAATGCCTCGAAAGCAAAGAAATTTGCTCAACGCAAAAATGAAGGAAGCCGTTGTGAAATGCAGCGATGAATTGAAACGGTTAGCGCCAGATTTATCTGACCGCCAAATTGACGAAAAGCTTCAAAATATTTTTTCGGTAACATCGGCGTAAAAAGCCAAAAGCGGGATATTCTTGAGGTATGTTTTATTGTCAGACTAAATGCGCGGGTAGATAATTAATTTCTCGCAAAAATTATACATAGAAAATGGATAAATTCGATTTATAACTCTCGCGAAGTCTCAATATCTACAAAACTACCTACAAGATTACCCCAACCTAGATTTTCTATTGACTTTTTTTTTTGAACCTGCAGCTGAACATTCCTCCAATAATAATTGATCTGGCTGATTCTGATTCTTCATCAACTTGGTCAAGTTCAGATCATGATGAATCCAATAAAGAGAATTTCTTTTAGTTTTGCATTGTTCCACATTCAAGTTTTAAAAAAATCGGTTCTTCTCAGAACCATCAACTTATCACAAATAAAATAACGCTATCATCATAACAACAATGCAAATGGGACATTGAAACTTTTGCTGAAACCGTCGGGGTGAGAAGAAGTTGCTTCTGTGTCTGCCGGTGGTCCTTTTGAACCAATTTTCAATTCTCCGTGCTACAAATTTAAAACCTGAAAAACCAAAAACCGCAACGACGTATGTCGCCCAATACCATCTAAGATATTAAATCCATATAAGACTTCTCTGAGTTCCGTTGGTCAACAAACTTTGTAAAAAAGAAAACATAACCTTATTTTTTTGACACATACGTTCCCACTAGAAAATATAACTAGACAACGTTGCCGGTTGAATTTTTGAGCCTTATTGCCGGTTGGGTGTTTCTTTAATTTATGAACAGAGAATATAATTATTTAATTCAATACAAAAAAGGTAAAAATTTAAAATAGTGTGATGTTATAAAATCGAGATCAGTGCACACATTACACTAAAGTTTGTTTCACACTAAAACAAAAAGAAACTGGATTGTAGAGATTTTTTTTGTAAAAAATACATTTGTTTCAAAATCAGGATTCGTTGCCTTTCTCGTTAAAAACAAATAAAGAAATTTGGTGACAAAAAGTTTTGAATTTTTGACAGTTGGCACGTCTTTCTCCTTCTCTCTCGCTCTAATTTTCCACCACCCCACTAGTGCACCTATTTCCTTTCACTGAAASCAAACCTGCAAACCTGAAACAGTTGATAAAAAAAAGTGTCATACATAAGTTGTAGTTTCGCGTCCATAGGTGAGGTTAAGTGTCCTTGAATTTTTCCATATTTTCTTTATTTCCGCTGTCCTTCAAACACGGATGTTTGAATAAGTTGCGCGACGCTTCTTTTGTATTAATTTACGAACCACATAAATATTCATTCCCGTATGGAAATTTTCAAGTCCAAGTTTCTCACTTTTTGAAACTTCAGCCGTAGTCTAGAAAAATGCGTTGGATCAGCCATCTAGACGGCGGCCCCAAGAGAGTAAACCACGCAGCTGTCGCCGTAGGCCACAAGATATACTCCTTCGGGGGTTACTGCACTGGCGAGGACTCTAAGGCCTACACTTCCATGGACGTGCATGTCCTTAACACCACTACATTCAGATGGACGAAGCACCCTGTCAGCGACTTGCCCTATTTTGAGAACGATGATATCCTGCCCTACAAACGCTACGGCCACAGTGCAGTGGTGTATGGTGATAAAGTGTACATTTGGGGTGGCCGCAATGACAGGTCTTCTGATGGYGTGCTGTTCTGCTTTGATACCACTTGGCATTGTTGGACGGCCCCCAAAACGACAGGGTGTATTCCTTTACCAAGGGATGGACATACAGCGTGCATGTGGAAGCATTACATGATTGTTTTTGGGGGTTATGAAGAGGAGACGGACTCTTTTGCGGAATCTGTGTATGCATTGGATTTGAAGAAAATGGATTGGTCGCATATAAAGACCGAAGGTATTACTCAAACTTGTATGATTAATTTCTGATTAAGTTGGCCTGATTATGACAAAAACATCTACTAACAACATTGAACAATTAGTGATATTAGATAGTTTTAGGCGTTTCAGGCGACTGCTCTACAAGTAACCTGTAACCACTCCTCGAAAATTAATGACAAATGACTATAAAATTGTAAATTTGTTTTTTGAATATGATAATCAGTGTCGCCAAACTAATAATGGTTTAGTATTCTACGTACTTGATAAAAATCACAATCATTTAGTAACTTCTATATCTTGCAACTTTTCTGTTGCCATTCTGCTACTTTTCACAATATTTTTTACTGTATACAATAGTGGACCTCTTTGGCTCTAAATTTGTCAGTAGGATTCAGCTCTAACATAGATTCCTCTTTTACACAGAAATCACCCCAAAAACGACCTTGCACTGTGGTAATAGAAAAGTCTCGAGGTTTATATCTACAGCTAAACCCCCTATAAGAAGTTTTAGGAGTTCTAACAATGATATTTGTCTAAAATTTTGTTTATTGTCATACCTAATCGGTTAGGTCCTGCTACATAATAATGTATTAATTTCGTTATTTTAAATAGAACAAAGTGTTTTTTATTGTTTTTTTTTTGATTACTCAAGTGATTTTGTGAAAGTTTTTATCAGACTTTCTTATCCCTTAGTTTAACCGTTTTCGAATTACATATTTAGATTTTTTTGGATTTACACCTTCCTCTTTAAAAATCGAAATTTATTATGAAATCAAATTTGGACATACGAAAGAGAAAGGTTAGATTTTCCTTTGGTAAATTCATAATTGCAAAAATAATTAACAAACTCCCAAAATTTACAGTTACGTTTGGGAAACTTCAAATACCCTTAAAATAATTTTTCTAAATAAAATACCCCAATATTTTTTTCACTAAATGAAGGAGAATTTAATTCTTCTTCGATTTGTATTAGCTATGACGTTGGTAACGAATTTGAAATCTTAATTTAGCAACATTGACTATCAAATTAAATTGTAATAATACACTCGGATGGTTTTTGAACGAATGTCTTGTATAACTATTACACCTAATAATAGTGCACCATGTTTCAAATTATTGTCACAGATATAAAGTTTGAATATTATTTCTGCGTTCTGGGAAAAATTGTAACGTAATCATCTTGTTTATTTTAATATAAAATAATGAAGGCAAATTGACGCTGTGGGTGTTTTTCCCTACGAGGAAGTCATTTTCATGCGTAATACAAAACAATGTAAAATACGTTCATTGTCAATTTTTTAAGTTGAAGCAAACAAGAACTTGACCTGCATTATGCTATTGTTTTTTGCTTTAATTTCTTTGGCATTGTTGGAGTTCGTCGATTGTTTTGATACCAAAATTTCTACGAATTTTACGAAGTACTATACGAAGTAGAGAGATTAAGTTGATTAAGTTGGAATTATCAAAAAATCTAACTCAATCTTAATTCTGATCTAACTTGTTATAAATCTAAAGTTAGCGTTTATTGATATAAAATGGAATGGTTTTAATATTTTCTTCTGAAATAGATATAAAATGAAATGATTATAAAAGTTAAAAGGGAAAGTTAAAGGGGAAAAAAATAAAAAATGCGGCTGATATCATAAATATAAAATCGATCAGGGAAAAACCATGATAACATGCTTACAAATTATTTGTAAAGAAACTGATACATTTTTTTTTTGGTATTGACAAAAATTAATTACATTATTATTATATTATTTACATTTTCCTAAGCGCGTGACAATAAACAGATCACTAATTGTAAATTATAAAATTTATGAAGTTGTAAACATGTTGTAAAAAAGTTGATTTATTTTTTATTGTCATGTTACGTAAAATTCTAACTTCAAAAGTTTGAAAAAAAATCATTTTGTACTGTATATAGATTACCGAGAATCACAGAGTCTATTACTCAAATAATTTTTGTGAAATAATAGCATAACAACTTCTCATTTATAAGTGTTTTAAAAATAATTGTTTTTTTGCGAAATATTTTGCGGTGATTTTCTGTGACAGCAATTTTAACGCGATTGCTTCATAATCTTCCATTTTAGATTTCAAACAAAACATTTCATAATTTGTAACATTAAAAAAATTTAAAAGCGAATTATACACTTTCTTGTCTCTAAAAATAAAGTTTTACGTCACGTCTTTTATTATAATAAATTTATTAAGTTCTGACTGATTTTGGATAAGAAAATAGTTTGTTTTTGCGCCGTAGTTATTTGAGAACAATGTTAGAAATAACTTTTTTACAACCTTGAGTCGTTTAAAAAAGTATAACTGGGTTTGTGTGTTTCTTAGAATTGACCTACTTTTTTATTAAAAAAACATTTTTTTAGGGGAAATCGAACCTACTCTACGTGATTTTCACACAGCTGTGTGTTTAAATAATCGAATGTATTTGTTTGGGGGTCGAGGAGGACACACTCTCTTTGGCGAAGAGGTCTATTCTAATGTATTATGGTACCTTGATTTAGAAACATTTAAATGGGTTCGTCCCCAAGTATCTGGTGATATACCTACAGGACGTAGAAGTCATTCAGCTTGTAATTTATGCTATTTTTGTAATTATGTATTTTCTTTAAATGATTCATTTTAGTCGTATATAATAATAAGATGTACATATTTGGCGGATATAATTATCTAGAAGAAAAGCACTTTAACGATATGTATGAGTATGATCCTCAAACTAGCAGATGGAGGATGGTTAACACAATCGGTCCTAAGCCTTGCGAACGACGGAGACAGGCTTGTGTTATTGTGGGTGATAGATTATTCCTTTTTGGTGGCACTAGGTAAAATTTTAATATTGTGGAAATTTTTACTGTTTTTGTTTTAGTCCGCAGATACCATACCTACGTGAACCTCAAGAAGACAAATTAATAGATCATTGTGATTTGTATATTTTAGATTTTAAGCCGAGTTTAAAGACTCTTTGTATACTTTCTGTGAGGAAATACAGACTCGACGAGTCAATTCTGCCCTATAGTTTAAGGTAGTTCATTTTTTGGTACTAAATTATATTTATATGTATATTTTTTTTAGGTTGGACGTCATGAATATGTTTACACCCAACAAAATTACCATTAGCCGACCCAATAAATCCGCAGGTTAAATCTCACAATGAGATGTTTTACATCGAGATGTTACCACTTGTTTACGTAATTTCATTATTTTCAGATTAAGTTTTGTTTTATTACATAAATACTATGGGCGGCTTTTACAATTCTCGGATAATTTCGTTATAATTATTATGCTTACAATTGTTTTATACAGGTGTGTCAGAACTCGCGCCCTAGAGAAAAATGCCATGTAAGGTAAGACACCAGAAACATGGAAAAAATGTTAAAAAATTCTATCTATAAGAATTTCGAAGTTATGAGAGTTTAAATTTTACACTTTGACTCAATTTATTTCTGTTGGAAAAATGATTTTCCAAGTTTTTTTTGCTACAGGCAATTAGAAGAGGAAACAAGGAAGCTGTATCCTAAATTGTAATTCTGTTTTAATGTTATTTGTGGCAAAATTTTTGTACCTTTACTAAATAATTATAAAAAAAACATATACAAGATTATCAGTATCATGAAATAGACATAAAAAATGTCAAATAAATAAATGTCAATTTTTTTTTACAGATAGGATTTTTTAAATATTATTTCCAAGTTCCTGGTATCTTATCTTGAATTTTTTTTCTGGGGCGCGAGTTCTGACACACCTGTATATCCAGAATAAGTTTATCCAATGATTATTACAAAAACCGCCCTAATGTGATTGTAATGTGAATACGCTCGTAATATTTTGTTTGTTCAATTGTTATGTGTATTTATATCTGCAGAAATAACTTGGATTTGTGTTTGAAAGTTTTTGGTAAATTAATGGAACTGGAAACAAAAATAGTGTTTTATTTTTGTTGAATTGAAGTAGGTGGTTTTCTTGACCCTCAACTATTTTAGTTTGTGAAGTAAATGTGAATGTAGCCAAAGCAACAGTGCTGCGATAAAGTTTAATTAACTCTCATGATATTAAGTGAAAATATTTTTTTATTCTTACAGAAGAATGTTGAAAAGTCTTGTAAGGCAGAATGATTATGTAAATATAAATGTATCTATTTATTCAGTTTGTATATACTCATATTTGTACCTAATTGAATTTTAATATTTTAATAAACTTTGTTCTTAGATTTTTTCCTTTTTTTTGGGTTTTGACAGTTTAATTTTCAATTTGGGGATATTTTGTTACTAATTTATCACGTTGGTGATAGTGTTATTGTTTATTGGTGCAATTTGCGTGTGACGTACTTGAAAAATATCAGGTTATAATAACAATTTTATCACAAATACGTTATTGTATACGAAACTTTTGTAACTGCAGTGTTATGTAGGCATTTTTTTCCTCGAACTTCTTTATTATTACATTATTTTAATCTTAGGTTTAAAAAGTGAGGTTATCCTCATCATGACCCAAACAATAATTGACGCATTGGAAAACGAGTGTTATCTCAAACCAGACTTCTGTGATAATTTRAAAAGCGAAGTGAAACAAAAAATTGAAGATTTTTCCGAATGGTTTAATAGTATAGCACGTTTGTCTTTTTTACGTTGTCAACAGGAAGAAAGCGAAATTCTTGTATACCTGCTCCTTAATCTCAAGAAAAAACTTAAACATGCGATTTCTGAAATAAACAAGTCGGTTAGTCATCGGAAACAGTTATTCACTTGCAATATATGTGAAGAAACAATTGAAGTCCAACCTTGGCAGAACGTTTGGAGGGTCTTACAAGACCACCCCCATTTTGAAGAAAGTTATAATCAAACTTTTGATTTAGCATACTCTGAAAATGAATCGTCAGCAACCACCGCTTCAATTATTGACGACTTGAGTGAAGATTTCAATCAAGTGGTTTTAGCAGACCCTGAACCTATCAAACCACAAGAAAACGGCTTAAATGATTTTAAATTCAATTTTGTCATAACGTACGATCCTATAGTTGAAGAGACTCTTTATCCTGAATCTTTTACAAGTGCAGCTCAAAAACGAGATAACATATCTGATTACACAGTTCAGAAAAGTGGCGCTGCACGTGCAGTGTGTCTCCTTTGTCCCTGCAGTCTGATTTCGAGAGGTCGCGTTTACAAAATAACATCCTATGTTATAAAGAATCACACAGCGGGGCAAAGACACTTGAAATATGCTTCAACGCCAGTGAATACAACAGCATTGAAACAATATCACGAGTTTTGGCGAAGTCAAGAGCCTAATTTTCAAGCGCATCAAGTGCATTTCCTCCCTGAAATCACTGTACTTAATATCCTTAAATGTCACTTGTGTCAGGAATTTGTTAAGTACACATCAGTCATTGACCACATTAAAGATAAGTCTCATAAAAGTAAACTTTTGAAGATTTTTTTGTCGCCTGAAGGCAAGTTGAACGAGTTTTATTTGCTTGATATGCAAGTGGGGGTGTATGAGGATGTTGTGGTTAATAATGCAACGCCTAAAAAGGATGTTAAACCCAAAGAATCAAAGGAGAAGAATCCTGGTAATTATTTCTAAAGTTAAGCTTTAATTTCTTTTTTATTTTATTACAGGACAGCCAAAATGTATTTTTGTGAAGGTTCTTTTTGAACCAAAAAGCCTACATTTGCCGCCAAGATATAAAGATCATTTAAAATTTTTTACTTATAATTCGGAACTGGTCACGTGTGATCTTTGTAAAGTGAATTTTACTAATACAGTAGTGGTGATATGGAATCATATTTCTAATCCCCAACATAAAACATTGTCAGGGGTTGAATGTCCCAAATACAAATTTTTTTGTGAAATTTGTAATATCCAAATCAAGGACGAAAACGCGTGGAATGATCATTTCACCAAAGGGCCAAACAGGTAATTTTTGATGTAGCAAATTAAAAAAAAATAGAAACAAAGATTCTTTTGCAACTTATGCTATTGTTATTATTTTATGATAAGATAACATATCGACATGTACTCTAAATTTATTATGTTTCAATGAGTTAGTCTATTATTATTATCATAGTTTTTTTTTCATGTAATACAATTTACTTTGTTTTTTTCTAACTTAGATACCTACAGAAACATGCAATATACATATTTTGGTCGTTAATGTCACAAAAATAGTATATTATATATAAAGGGATGCACGATTATTGCTGAGATGTCGCACCAAAGGAATAATAGCATTTCTTTCCAGAGGTGTATATACTATTTTTTGTAGGTACGACAAATTATACCATGGCAACAATAAAAATGTTTGTAGACGATGAGCCAATCAATTAATGGGAATGACTTAGCTCCCGTCCGTCGCTATGCTCGTTTCTCTCTCTAAGAAGAGAATTTTGACTTCTGTCACAATTTTGACATACTCCCCGATTAAAAAAGATATTCTTTTACCTCAGAAAAATAGTTTTAACGTCGATTGACTTTCAATTATTGCTAACATTGTGACACGAATTTCAAAATATACAAAAATAAGTTTGTCAAAAAATGACATTGCCGACCAAAATACAGTCAAATTCAAAAAAGAGTGGTCGTCAATGACATTTCAAAAATTAATAAATAAATATTAAATGATTTACATTTTCACGACAAAATTGATTTGATCACAAACTTCGTGATGCCAAATAATGTATTTTTACAGATTTAAGTACGCTAATTCACACAGAAATAATTAATTTTATGCCAAAAGGTGACATTCACGACCACTTTTTTTTAATTTGACTATACCGAGTGCGGCATCTGTTCCGCGCAGAAAAGAAATCCCTCTAATTAAGTAAAATTGTTGAATTTTTTCACACTTACCTGGGCATTGGTAAGGTACATTCCGTAATTTTTTGGTAATTTTTCATTTAAACAATAAACAATGCCAAAAGAAAAATAAAAAGTAATTTTCTCCCAAAAAGTTTGATTCTAATTTTTATACTGACCTACGCAAATTCCTACAATTGGTTACAAAATCAGAAAAAAAAATACCAATAAGATTTTGAATGAAACGCAATTTTCCATCTTAACTTTGAAAATCATTTTTATTTATGACCTGCTACTTGTGCCATCGTAAATTTAGGTGCAATTGGGGTATGATTCCAAGGGTTACAACAAAAAGACCCTTCAAAGCGGTCGGCTACCAGTAAATGATACTTTTGTTGGTAAATTATACCATTATGTCATAAATCACGGGTCTGGTTTGTGTTTAAATAGAAAAAGGGATTATTTGTTAACCAAGTCAAAATTTGAAATTGTGATACCAAAGTTTGTTGCGCTAGCAGGTACAGATTCATTTAGTGTAAAAACTTGTGTAAATTAACAGAAAGTTCATAAAACACACAAAACTGTTACGGCCTCGTTTATTATGAAAAAAATGTTGAAAAATTCTCAAAATGTACCCTATCAAAAATTAGTTAGGTATATMAAATATCACCAGTTTTAATTAATTAGAAGTCGCGATTTATCAGTGCGCGTAACCGATGTCACACCCTGTATATTGCATGCGACTGTATCGTCGAATTTAGTAAAATAACTGCTCTCTGTTAGGGGTTGATCCATGTATATAAAAAAGCAGAAAACAACTGATCAGGAGTTCAATTTTGACATTTTTATTAGTTTTTATAATTTTTGTGATCAAAAAATTTAGAGACGAAAACACAAAAACAGGGACAAATTCGATACCTCTAACAGTTTGTGACAATTTGAAGACGAAAAGCGTGGAAGTAGAAGTCAGAAAAAGCCCACAGTAATGCTGTAATGCAAGTTTGCTAAACATTCTTTAATTTGTATAACGCAATTAATAAAAGCTGGGAGGGAAGGACACAACAAAACAAAATACGCCAGGGAGAACTGATATAACGAGATTGAACCCTTTAAGCTAAAAAACTGTGTCAAAAAAATTCCCCAGATTAAAGTGTCAGCGAGAATCAGTTGAACTCAAAAAATGCCCAGGCGAGAAAAGTGTTATTTCTACCGAAACGGCGATGGTTTGGTTGCACCGTTTTTGAAGAACGAGTTGATTTCCGTTTAAAAAAGTTACGTTCTCGGATTTGCTTCGAGTTTTTCTCCTTTTATGTTATGTAAATAATTAATACTTAATTTTCAATGTTTGAATAATAAAAGTTTGATAAAAACGGCATAAATCATTAAATAATTCAAATGCACTTGCTTATTGTTACCATTCAGTGTATTATATGTTCCTACAGTTCAAATGTTGAGGTCTTTTTATCAAAACTCAAAAGTGCATTGTAACAAACAGTCGATTTTTAGACACGACAGCATGACTCAGGGCCGAAAACAAAAAGTGGGCGAATACGAATGCAAAACTTGCAAGGATGTAATTTTCGGCGATGAATTATCTCTCAGCCGCCACACTTCAACACGTGGTGGCAGAAACCGAGCTAAAGGTGGTTTATTCTCTTTACAACTTATACAATAATTTCGCTTTTGTAGAAGTTAAATTGCCTTTCTCTGTCAAAAAACTATTCCGGACGAAAGCTTTCATCCAAGAAGAAGCCGAACGAATGCAAATCGAAGCAAATAAAGTTCTAGAGAATCAAGACAAAATGAAACAATGTTGTGACGATTTGGAACGAGCCTTGTCTGGGATTTACCCAAATTGCAAGGCTTATTCTTTCGGGTCTAGAATATCAGGACTGGGGAATAATGTTAGTTGAAAACCTGTATCGCTGGTTAACTAATAGTTTCATATTTAGCAAAGCGACTTGGATGTGTTTATGGACACGGGTGATATGTATTTAGGTGAAAGGCATCAGGATGCGCAAAGTCAGGAACAATTCGTTAAAAAAGCGAGTAAAGTTTTTAAGTCGTTTAAAGATCAGTTTCATTCTGTAGTGTCAATTCCAACTGCGAGAACCCCGATTGTCAAAATACATCACATTTTTACCAATTTGGATTGTGATATTTCCTTCAGGCATGGATTAGGTGTCGAAAATACAAAATTTTTAAGGTACATAAAAGTCGGTTAAATTCAATTAATCACAATTTAAATTTCAGATTTTGTATGGAATTGCAACCCATCACACAATCATTTATTTTGTTGCTGAAACAATGGTCGGATTATTGCAGACTTAACGAACATATAACCAACTATGGTTTGGCTCTAATGGCTGTTTTTTTCCTCCAAACTGGAGGATTTCTCTTGTCTGTTAAAACTGTAAGGGCTTACAATCCAACACAATCGTTAATTATTGATGGTTGTTTTATAAATTCAAATGATTATTTTTACTAATTTCAAATCGTAGGTTGGGAGACTTTGAACTACACTGTTCCTACCGAAAAAATGAAAGAATTTGTCAGACCCTACACGGGAAATGTGAAACAATTACTACGTGACTTTTTTTATTATTATTCAAAGTTTGATTACGCTAATCATGTAAGTATGTTTGATTTTTTTTATTTCTCGTTCTTCATATACATCTTGTAGGTGGTTTGTCCATTGTTGGGTAATGCTATACCGAAATTATTTTTTAATGAGAGACCTCATGAATTATTGCCAATAGAAATGAAGAGTTATGTTCAAAGAATACAGAGTGAAAACGGCGAACAATTCCAGTTTCGTGGTTTGACTCCGTTTTGTATCCAAGATCCATTCGATTTGAGTCACAATTTGACGAAAGCTTGTCAGAATGGTACAATCACAAGATTGAAGGCTTTGTGTACCTTGACATATGAGTTATTGGATATAATTCAATAATATTTTAAGTGCCTGAGTGGCATAATGTGATGTCTGTTTTATGTAGTTTTTAATAATGACGAATTAAACATTTAAAGGGAAACATATAATATATTTTTCTCTTTACATAACGTAATAAAAATAAAAAATATTTACAATGATTTATACAAATTTTGGAATACTGATGTCACAGGAATGGGGTGTCCTAACACCTCATCTAATAATACTTAAAATTATATATACAAAAATAAAATTAAAATAAATATGTAGCGGATAAGTTATTGTCATCATTATTATCATGAGATTTGGGACTAAATTCACATTTCCGGTTGTAAAATATTCAAGAGACTGACGTACGAACCTATAATAAACCCTACAAATCCGAACAAAACAATCGCTATATCTTTCCATAAAATCCAATTATTTTTGCCCAATTTGTCCGGCCAGAAAGTTATAATTTCGATCAAAGGCGGGAAAATTAAAGCCAAAGCTGAGCTACTAAAAGCCCCGACTAAAGAAATTACAGCACCCAAATTTGGAATCGCGATCGCCAAAGCAAAAGTTACAAAAACTAGAATTGTTCTAGTTGCATGTTCGGCCAATCTTTTCGATTTGTCTGAATGGAAATAATCTTTTATCCAAGGCCACACGATGTTAAACGGAACGTAAAACTGGAGACTGTAGGAGAGGAAAATTGCAACTGCCATCATTAACCGAACAGATTGTGCCAACCTACAAAACAAATTTAATAATAACAAAATAACAAATATTGTCAACTTACAATTCATTTGGTGGTAGCAATAGAGTGACACTCCCCAAAACCGCTTGATCCCCATATTTCAAATAACCGAAAAAACCCACAGCTGTGTACAGTGTTGCCACGATTACCATTCCTGTGTTTAAAACACCGGTCCATCCGCCGAAATCTTGAGGTGACTTCATGTTGTTTTCCAAAGGTAAAATCTTGAACAAATTATTGAGCTTGTCTACACGTCAGGTAAGTGTAACTTACCACACCAATGCCCTCAAATGCGTAAATAGCCGTCCCGAAGTAAAGTGGTAGTTGGGACCAACTCGAAAATGCTTGTACTGTAGAAGTATCAGGTAGGTCTTGAAGCATGTAGAAAAAGGTTATAACCAAACCGCTACAAGTCAAGATTGATGCAAAAAGCGATGCTGGGGTCAAATATTTCAAACTTTTGACAAAGTTGAGTAAAACCATAGGAATCAAAAGCATAACAAGGTACCAGTGCACACTCATATCGAAAAAGTAGTGRTTTATAACATCGTGGAGGTTGGCAGCAACGAAGACAAAATAAACGCAACAGAAGCCCAATTGGGTGATACATAAGAAAAGATTAATCAATGTCCTGCAATAAAAACGGTTATTTGTGTTTTAAAATTCGCTAAAATTTTACTTTGCAATTTGACTGAACTTCTGCAATGGTTGCGGTCCCGTTTTGAACGCGTTTTCCACGACTTCATCAAAACTCAACGACGGTTTCTGCGTTCGTCGGCACAATTCGTGTGAGCAAGCTACCAGCATGTGCATGCAATGTGTGCAGATACAACCCATCAGCATGGTTCCAAACAGACCCACCACCCATCCGGCGTTGCGGAAAGCGTCCGGCATTGCCAAAATTCCCGTCCCGATGTTTCCTTTCAATAAATGTATCATCGTATCGAAGTTCGAAGTTGGATGTTCCAGTTTTCGATTGAGGGTTGGATCTTCGGAAAAGTCTTCGCCCGACGCCGAGTCCAGGTCGAGGGAGACGTCGGGAGCGTCGCTCTCGAGTAAACGTTGCTTCTCGTCTTTGTCATTTTTCGATGATTTGGGGAGGAGTAGTTTGGATTCCTAGAGTGGAAAAGCAATGATTAGTTTGCTGATAGAATTGTGTGATTATACCTTGCGTTTCATTTTTTAAAAAACACTTATGGAATCATCAACATATGGTGTGAAGGTGCGATTACATATTTGACAAATGTGCTATCTATATCTGTTTACGTAGGTACTTACGTATCAATGGTGAACTACGAATAGATAATACTTTTTATATTTAACACTTGACGTGTTTATTTTATAACAATGAATCAGTGGATTAACAAATAACACCGATTAAACCTGTCCATGAAAAGAGAAATGTCAGTGAAATTGAAAATACGTATAACGTAATACAACTTTCTTATCCCAAGTTTGAGGTCGCGCTATCTTTTTAATTATTATTATTGTTAGATAGCAAATGCCGTCGAAGTGTCTCTAGAGTTTTGCGAAGGATACAAAATGTCTAATAATTAATTTATTTTCATTATATTAAGATTTTCACTTTCTTGGAAAAATGGGTGAGTAATTGTAATATTTCGCAATAACTTCTGTTTTATTGGAAAAACAAAAAACATTTTAAATATCAACAATTTTCGATAACAAAAACTTACGTACATACGTTGCAAAGGAAAAATAATTGCCCAATATATTTCTTAATTAATCGAGCAGAAAACTAATTGTGTTACACTGTAACAAAGACATTATTACTCTGCTAGAAAGGTGCTTTGTATTGTAACGAACGAATATGGAGGTCAAGGTTTATTAAATACAGTTACAGAGTAATAAAATGGTAAAACAATTAAATATCGAGTGTAATATCTGTTTCAAAGTGCTGTGTTCTGTATTATTTGTTGGTAGGTATGACTTACATTATTAATTTTATTTTTGACCATAATTTTAAACAGATATTAAAGTGTTTCGTTTATACAGGGTGATTCAAAAATATCAGTCCAACTCTATAATGGTGATAGAAGACTTTCAGCTAAGCATAAAAATGAATTCAAATTTTTGTTTCAAGCTTTTTATTATCATGTAGGCATCTTAGTTTTTTGTTTCCAATGTTGTTAGATTTAATTTATTGTTAAATTTGCTACTTTTTTAAATGTTTTTTTACACCATAAGACACAAATTGGTAATTTTTTTCAACAGGTATCTGTTCAGTCTAGATGGATGTCCTTTATCACCACCCAAGAGATGGTCCGACACTTTTCAATCACTCTGTATTTCTCGACTTTTTTATTTTTCTTGTTAAAAATGGAGTAAATTTTACAAGTATAATAAAAAGATGACATAATCGGCAATGGGGAATGAATAATAATAAAAACCGTATGCTGTGTTTTTGGTAGATAAATTTTGAATCCGGTACTCGCTATGATTACAAAAAACGGATATTAAATTTCTGATAATTTTGATAGTCGCAATAAAACTCAATTGCTTTATTGCGGCGAATTATTGGTCTTATCAAATTATAATTACACAGAAATCAAAAAACTCGTTGCAAAGCCAGTAGTTTTTGAACTATTTATTTTTGAAAAATTTAATTAATTTTTTTAAACATTTGTATGTAAATACATATGAACGTAACAATATAACGTATTTATTAAGATAGCACCTATAGAAAGTGTTTATTGACACAAAATTCAAATAAATGAGGAAATTATCAGCTAAGTTGTATCTAGTAGTATCTACAACATTGTGGACACAATGCATTTCTTATTTTTTTAAACAATTCGTCACTGATAATAATTATTATTATAATCACAAATAAAATACTTTATATTTAATAATTACTGGTGTTTCTTTCTTCAAAATGTATGGTTCTACACAGAATACGTACGAACAAAGTTTTGTTTAATTACATCGATAAACGCAACATTACGTCTATTTGTATTTTTAGATTTCTAATGGAATTTTTTCCAAATAAATACCCTATTTTTCGTTATTTGAAATATGATAGGAAAAGAACAGACAACCAGATCTTTCCAGTTAGGTCTAGCCAGGTCACTTTTTGTCAAAACGAATTCTTCAACTTATCATTCGTGAGAGGTTATCAAATGAGAGATTTTCCGTTTTGCCTCGACCTTTTTTTATTTGCCAATTAATCGCGTCTTTAATGAACGTAAAAAAATAATAAAATATTTGTGAGTTAGTTTTATTCAGTTTGGTTCCTAACAGATTAGGCATGGGGGGTACCTAAGTATAACTTTATTTACAAAACAGCTTTAATCGTCCGCCCCTGATTGTGGTTTAATTTTCACAAAATTTTCCAATTGCTAATGACTTGTTATTATTTAAGGAAAGTTTCTATTCGAACAGGATGAAATAAAATATAAAAGAACCGAACAATCTTATTATTAACTAGACGATAAAAAATATTTATCAAAAAGTAAGATTCCTCTCGCGCTATCATGGTAAAACATTTCCGATAATCTTTGTACAGCAGGAATCCAACTAACAACTAATTTGATTAGAGGTTTTCATTATTAACTATAAAATATATCATAATAATATTGGTGGCAAGAATTCAACGGATGAAGATTCGGGTTATCGCATTTTACTTAATAATTAGGAGAAAAAAGTCATTTAAACTAAATTGATTATGCGGTAGAGTTTAAAAAAAATGTAAAACGAGCCGCACGTGAAATGCTCCACATCTGTGTAAATATTTATCGTTTGGTTTATCAAAATTGGTGGCTCTTGCATGTTGTATGTCAAATTCTTTTGAACCAGCACAAACAATGATAGCCGGTGGAAAGTTTCCATGCGATTAATTAAACTGACAAAGAACCAAATTTTAGGAATTACACTTTTCTGAAATAATACACTTTTTATTTGCCATGACTTGATTGGCTTTTAGAAATATTTGAAAAAAATGTAAAAAAAACGGGGTTTGTTTTATAAATATCCAAAAACTTAATAGTTAATCCATTGAAAAATAAAAAATAAATACTTACATAGTCGCATGAATTGATGGCACCGTATTCCTTCTTCATCTTTTGAAAATTTCAACCACTGGTGTTGAGACATTAAGGGTCAGTGGAGGACTAGTGATTAAGTTGCCCGCTCGTCTCTTTTAAAATTGCTATTATTCAGCTGACCCTCACCCCACCAATAAATCGTATTTGTTTATAAAGTTTATCAATGAATAAAAAATCACAGTATTTGACAAGAACCAAACACGTGTTTTTCAATATCAAATCAACTTTGCAATAAAATTCTGATACGCTTTAAAAATTTACGTAAAACAACAGCATTCCAAAAGACAAATTATGACTCACGCCTCAAAATACTCTTTTATATACAAGAACTGATAAAATTTGTTCAATTTGAAAGTCATTTCTTTTTGAAACCTAGATTTCGGGTGTGRGGGTCAGGGGGCAATTATAATTGAATTTTTTGTTAAAAAATGTGTTCATGGGGGAGAAAAATCGGCGGTGACACTTGACCCCTAATGATTATATATTATCACCCAAATATTTAATTGCAAAATCACGTCAGTATCCTTAACCTGTTCAACTGGTGGTGTGATAAGGCCATCCCGTTAGTGACAGGCTTGCAGCCACCAATACATTTTATAACATGAATCTGCCACGATGTGATAAGTGAAATGGAATGAGTGCCTGTTTTAAAAGTGSTTAAAAATAATGCATATTTACAGTTCTAGTTCTCATGCGACATCTACGTGCAGCAACCATTTAAAAGTACATAATATTTACAGTGAGGGGCTGTAGAGGAGTCGCCGTTGACATATTCATCTCGTTAATTCAAAAGGCCACTAAAACAGACAAAATGCAAGATTTGAGACTGTGTTACTGTGACCTAATTTCCAAATATCAACATCTTGAGGGGGCACATTTTTTTATTTTAATTATATACATCTGTTTAAATCAACTTTTAACTATTAAGCAATCATTATCTTACTTACTTTTGTATAAATCGCCAATTTTGTTTATAAACAGCTATTTAAAATTCTTGACTGACATAATAAAATGTGACAGTTGACAGTACCAAACAACTGATCTACGTTTTTTCGGAACGAAAATTATTTGGTTACCTTAAATAAATTAGCGATAATGCTTTTTAAATTAACTGTTTTTGTTTGTTATTTTTGTTTATTATTTACCTCTCAAATTAATTTACTATTATTTATTTCAATATTAAAATCTCAATTCGAACGAACAAACAGTCGTGCGCACTTTTAGTAGATTAAAAGACAAATGACAGCTGTTTTTGACTTTTGTTGACAAACGTCATCTGTTTACGTCAATAATATTTTTTACAATAAATAAATATTTGTATATGTTGGACAGTGCATTTACATTGGGCTTATGAATTTGGGGCTGTTTAATCGTATGAACTTGAAAGTAGGTACCTACTTGTCTCATTTTTTTCTAATTGGAGTCTTAAAGGAAAGCGGCGAGAATAAGGGAATGTATTCAGAATGGACGTCTTTAAATCTCATGCTTCAAAAGAACGGCGACGAAAACCAAAGCGTTTTAGAAAAATTCGGTTTAGGTACCAGCAAAGAGGTGACTCTGGGAYTAGTAAGACAGTTGGCCAGTAACTTGGGAATTAGTCAACCAGCAGAACCTAGCCCTCTTGTAACTGATAAAGAGGTACTTTTTATAAAAATCAACACGAGGTAGTTAAAGTGCATTTAAAGGTACAATGGTGTATGGAAGTACTCTGCTTTGGCCTGTCTTTACCCCTGTCAGAACATGAGGCAATCAAAGATTGTGTTAATGTCTATTGTGAGTGGCTATCAGCCTTACTGACCCCGAAAGTTTGTGTCCCTCAGCCAATAGTTGAAGATCCAAATGTATACGCGCGCAAGATTATCGCCCATCTTCACTACTTATTTATTCCAAGGAAAGGAGAAGGTAAATAAAAAAGTTACTGCTTTGTAATTATTTTAAACAAAATGTTGCTTTTACAAGACTGGTCTTTTTTATATCAGGATTTGGGTAGGTCATGATTTGTGAACTAATCAAATGTTTATACAAGGTGCGCCAGAACTCGCGCTTCAGAGAAAATTTTCAAGTAAGGTAGATACCAGGAACATGAAAAACATGTTTAAAAAATTCTATCTGTCAAAAAATTTTGTCATTTATTTTTTGATATTTGATATTTTTTTTATGTCTACCTAATTTAATAATACTGATGATCTTGTATACGTTTTTTTTACAATTATTTAGTAAAGGGACAAAAATTTCGCCAATGAAAGCCACAAATAACATTGAACAGAGTTACAATTTAGGATACAGCCTCCTTGTTTCCTCTTTTAATAGCCTATAGCAAAAAAACTTGGAAAATTATTTTTCCAACAGAAATAAATAGAGTCAAAGTGCAAACTTTAAACCCTCATAACTATAGATAAAAATCTTTTAAAATTTTTTCCATGTTGCTGTTATCTTACCTTATGGCATTTATCTCTGGGGCGCAAGTTCTGGCGCACCCTGTATAAAATAAATAATTAACCGCTTATTTCTTATTTAGGAATTGACACAATTAATAGACAAGCCGTTTTGTGTCACAGGGTGCTTCGTACCCTTCAACAAATCGCCCACGAGTCGAAATTGCTCGAACGCGAGACTTGGGAAGCTCTTCTCTTATTTTTATTAGCAATAAATGACACGTTATTGTCACCACCAACAGTGAAAGATGATGTAGCTGACCAGCTTTGTGAAAGAGTTTTAAGTGTTTTATTCGAGGTGGGATAAATATTTGTTTGTGTTGTTTTACAACATTTGTTTGAAGATATGGCTCATAGCATGCGCTCAATGTTTTCCTTCGCCGCCTCTGTGGAAAACTTTGAGGGAGTGTTGTATGAATTGGCGTCATCGGGTCGCACTAATAGAGCAATGGAATCGAGTCAATTTAGTTTTAACATCGAAAGTTTTGGCTTTCATGTATGGTCCAAGTTTTCCCGAATTGAAAATCGGTAACACAAACCACATAATTTTTTTTATGCGAGCGAAATAAAAATAACTTCTAGGGGATGACGATTTGATAACTCATGGTATGTCAAATGAGTGTATAGCTCAGAGTTGGTACCGATTTTTGAACACCATCGGGAATCCGATAAGTTTGACTAAACCGGAAGTGATAAGCCAAACTCAGAAATTCCTCCAATTTGCGATAAGTACCGACAACGTGAATGATCCCTGTCAACACCCCTGCCTCCAGGCCCTCCCTTTGATCTTCCTCAAGGCGATCAAGGGTATAGCCGGTCAGGTGGACGCATTTCTCGGTTCGTAAAAACACAAATTGTTTCGTTTCGCCTCGCTAACAGTCTCCATTGGTAATCACTGTTTTACGTTGGTTCAGGTGTAGCACAAGCTGTTTGGTGGGAAAATATGATAACAGGGGGCAGCACTGATAAGAGTAAAGAAGTTGCACCAAATCAAACTTCTGCTACTTACTCACCTAGTCCTACTCCTCCTACTCAACGCAGATTGGCAAAAAGTTTTAGTGTGGCACCGTCCTCTGTCTCTAAGGGTTAGAATTAGTCTGTGTTTTTAACAATCTATGTTTATTTTTGTGGGGATTTTGATTTGTGGGGATTGTAGGGATTCCGAAATCGTCTCTGATTGGACTGACGACAAGCKGGAGTTCGGTCGTTGCTGCGACKGCTTCAGCCCCCAATTCGGGGCCATCATCGGCTTCGAGCGCTTCTTGTATGTATTTCTTGCAAMTCGATTTGATTCTCTAGAGTTTTATCACAGCTTTAACTTCGTTTGGGATCGAAACGCGCAACCCCTTAGCCCCGGGAAGGCCCCGATGTAACAGTATTTTACACTTGTTTGGCGAGTGGTTATTTGAAGCTGCTTTCCTCGGTTGCGATTTAAACAACAGTAAGGAAAAATACAGTGCGATCAAAAAGTCTTTCTATCAAATAGGCGTATTAGTTGAGGACGTATGTCGCTTGGAAGTTTGTATGTCAGCTAGATGTCAAAAAATTATTTTATAAAAATTAAAATATTGATCTAAACAAATTGAATTACTGTATGAAACGTCTTAAAACACCTTCAAATGGGATGTAGTTGGAGTTTATTCATACAAATCATTCACCACGATTTGTTCTTACAGTTTACAAAAAAAATATTTTGACATTTCTTATTTACCAATGTGACATTTTATCTTCCGCAGATACACGTTTTAAATTTCTAGGCTTGCTTGATAGATAAACTTTTTGATCGCACTGTACAGGGTGCTGCATTTTGGATGTCCGAATAGGGAATCTCCGAAACTAAGATGTTTAGCCAAAAACGAGTGATACATTCTGGGGCTCATTTTTTGAGAAAATAATATTGGTTAAAACCGCATCCCGCTATCGTCTTTTGTTTTTGACTTATACAGACAAAAGTTGACATTTTGGCCAAATCTAAAAAAAAAGACATTATACAGGCACTTTTTGATGTAGAATTTAATAATGTAAACTTTTTTTATTCAGTTATTGCTTTAACCGTAATAAGATGAACTTGTATTTTTTTATGTAGAAATCATAGGCGGCTCTGGCAATTTTAAGAAGCTTATTTTTTTCTGATCTAAAAAATATATATTTGTAACAGAATATTTTTTATAATTATACTTAAAAAGTGAAATACATATTTTGTTTGATAATAGTTGGCCATGGAAAAACTATTTCACTCCAAATGTGTAAATAATAATCAATAAGAGTTTTGTGAACTGTAAAATAGATGAAAAAATAGATAAAATTATAAAAATTTAAAAAATACGAAACATTAGAAGTATTGAACAAATATGCGAGCGCCTTAGAACAAWATTATTACATATTTTTAAAAAAATCCAAAAATAGGAAAAACAAATGTGTCAACACAATTAGAAAAAACATTTTTTTGATGATCTAATGGAGGTAGGATAACGTTCCACATAGACGGAATTTGGGTATTTGAATTGTCATTTTTGTGTCGTATAAAATATATTTTATTGAAGAATAAAAGCGCTTTTTTTACAACACTATGTATCACTAGATGTTACAATAGTAATGTTAGCTTGTTTAAAAACAAAAAAAAAATGTTATTAGTCGTCAATAAGTTGATTTACGATTTATTTTTGCATTTTTTTCATTACTTAGTACTTAGAAAACTCTTTCTTTAGTGACACTGGTTGAATAATATAGTTTAAATCCTTTTAGTTGAAGAAGCAACATTTTTTCATGGCCAACTGAGAACAAAAATCAAAGATAATTTTTTGCTAATGATATATTATAATAATTTGTTACAAATATATATTTTTTAGATAAGAAAAAAACAAGCTTTTTAAAAATGACATAGCCATCTATGATTCCCATTTAAAAAAATAGAAGTTTATTTTATTACGGCTAAACAAACAATTGAAAAAAATTGTTAACTACATTATTAAATTCTCCATAACAAAGTACCTGTTTAATGACTTTATTTCAAATCTGTGTCTTCTTTAATAAGGAAGATATGATTTTTTTTAGATTTTGCCAAAATGTCAATTTTTGTCTATAAGTCGAAAGCAAAAGACGATAGCGGGATYCGGTTTTAACCAATATTTCCTCAAAAAATAAGCCCCAGAATGTATTACTCGTTTTTGGCTAAACCTCTTAGTTTTGGAGATTCCCTATTCGGACATRCAAAATGCAGCACCCTGTATAAGTAATAAATCTATTACTTTTTATTTTAACTTAGGACAAACWCACGACCAAAATAAAAGACCAAGTTCGGTACTAATGGAGAGTTACTCGCAACCGAGTTCCATGAYTGACATTCCTAGTTTACCTTCAAGTTTGACTATAGATAAGTATGAAAGTGGCAAAGCTGAAGCTTTAGGTACTCTCTGTCGAATCATGTGTGCGAAAAAAACKGGCGAGGAAATCCTTCCGGTATATTTYGCRCGATTTTACCTGGCGGTGCAACAGGGGTTGAAAGCCCCGAATCGAGAATGTGGCGAAACSATGGTTGCTATWTTAATGAATTCATCGGATTTATTTCGTCTTGATTTAGACGGGATTCGAGTCCTGATCCCGGTTTTTATCACAGCGCTTGAGATTGTTTTACCAGACAAAGATCTGAAATTAAATTCAAACGTTTCAAAAATCGACTTAAGAAGAGCTTCCATCCATTTATTGTCATCAATGTTAGTCTTGCCGCTACATTTTCAAAACGTTGTAATTAAGGAATTGATAAGTTCAGGTAATTTTCTCCTATGTTTGATTTTTTTATAAAGTAATTCAGGTTTGTCGGAGCGACCTGTAACTTTCGCCCAACTCAAACCTCGTCTCATGAACCTCGTCATGAATGCTCTTCAGATCGAAACTGACCCGCAAAACACTCATATGTTACTCGGGAGTCTGTTTTTGTGTGTCCAAGATTCGTCGATTTATGAAAAAGTCGAACAAGTGATGCAACCCCCAACTGACACTTCTTCAAACTTGCTAAGTTCAGGTATTTAAGATGGGAATAATAGTCACGTAATGCTTTGTATTGTCTATTATTTTTCCGTTTGTATTTTTTTTTCTTCTTTTGCTTGTTTGTGGCTTATGTAGCGTCCGACACTGCCAGTACCATGAGCATGGCTAGCAGTTATGACCGTTCCACTTCACCCGAGCATTTTGGTCCTGTTGATTCTTATGATTTAGTGCCGATAGGTATGTTTGTATCGCATTCAACAAAGTTTAATAAACAGAAAAATTGTAATTTTTTATTGGTTGCAGATTCGGCACACGCTTTGTTTGTAAGAGCGACTTATTTGGTATGCCATAGATTGATCAGTTCGTGGAAAACTGACCTTAATGTGTCTCTAGCGGCACTTGAACTGCTTTCAGGACTTGCCAGAATACACATCAAAGAATCAGGTAAGTAATTTATTGGTAGAAATGTGTGAAAACTTAACAAATTGTTGTTTTTTTTGAGCAGCCAGAAAGTTAACAGGTAATTTGCTTTTATATTGTTGAAAAGAATTTTTGGTCTTTAAAAAAATTATTTGACTAAAAAACAAAGTAATTTTGAAATGTAAACGAATGAAACAACAAAAACATGAAATTTATTTTCGGTTTTTCAGTTTTTTTGGATAAATTCTTTTTTTTCTCAATTTATTTACGCAGAAATACCATAGTGCTGATAACAAACACCTAAACTTACTTCTTTTTTTCAAAAAGTAAATATTTAAGTAGTAATATTCATTCTTGGCTTTCTTAATAAATGTATCAAATTTTTTTAGCACATCCGGTGTTGCCGGAAATGCTACCAAATTTAGTTTTTCAAATAGAACACCTATGTTTTTTTCCTCCAAACAATAATAATTGACATGAAAAGTACTGTAAACCACTATCTATTACATTTTGCGTAACACAATGCAATCAAAAAACATCTTAAATCTTAGAATTTTYTAAGGAAATTGGTTGCGTAGCCTGATTTTTAATTTTAAAGGAAAGGTGTGAATAAAAAAATGCTTGGATACAYTTTAATTGTTGGTTTGACAAATCTAATTTGTCAGTTGATGAGCGAGTTCTCTTATGYAAACTCTTGGATTTTCTTCGACTGATAACAGAACATTCAGATTTCTATTTTCTMGTTCTTCACAAAGAACCACATGTTTTTTAGTTTTAAGAAGCGAACCTCTTCGTCTCAGTTGTTTTTCAAATCGACTAAATTTTCAACGATTTGGGTGAACTCTYWTTGAGTATTTTTCTCTWTACTGTCTTTCAGCTTCCGCTCTATTTTTATTGCACTTAAAAAATACTTCAAGCTGATCTACCAATTCGTCTTAATTATTATCATCCATTATTAAAAATCTCAATAAGTTTTATTGACAAATTAGGCTTTGTCAAACTAACAATTAAACGGTATCCAAGCATATTGCTTTTTGTATGAATACCTTGACAAGTAAAATCCGCCTACGTTGCAAAATTTGAAATAAAATTCAAAAATTTAAATTGTTTTCTGAGTGCATTATGTAAAGTAAAATGTAAAAATAGCGGTTTACCGTATTTTTCATGCCAATTATTATTGTTTTGAGCAAAAAAACATAGGTGTTCCATTTGAAAAACTAAATTTGGTAGCATTTCCGGCTACACCGGATATGCCAAAAAAATTTGATGCATTTACTAAGAAAGCCAGAAATGAGTAGTATTATTTGAAAAATTAGTTTTTGAGAAAAAAAAAGTAAGTTTAGGTGTTATCGGTCGGGGCGACTTGGACCGAACATCCTGTATAGTATTTTACGCAATTTTAGAGTATGATACAATATTTTTTGGTTTCGTAAGCAGAATGTAGGAATTCAACAATACAAAGTACGATTCCTGCTGAAATAGTAAATTTTTTTGAAAAATTACGGTTAATTATTATTGTTTACAAATTTAGGTCAATATGATATTTTTATTCTTATACACGGTGTCTCAAAATTCAGGCATTCCGAGTTTAGAGCATAGTAGGAAGTACCCCTTGGACTAAGTAAAAATATAAAGAACAGTTTCTTAAATTACCTCCTATAAGGGGGGCTTGCGAAAATATCACTCATAGCAATGCAAATAAATAAAAATAAATCCCAATATTATAGTTTTTATTTGAAGACTACTTGATGCAAAGTCTGCTATTCCACGACATCCCACCACACGACATTTCATCACGCGACATCTAGTCACTTTGCCAAGTTTTATAAAAGAAAACAAAACAATCACATTTTATAAAAGTATAGTGACAGCTTTCAGTTACAACAAACCAATCAGACCTTTACAACAGGAATCATGTTCAGAAAAATTTAATATTTATTGAGTTTTTTATTTTTTATAAAATACAAAATATACAAAATATCTTAATTATATAAAAATAGAAGATTAAAGAAATTAAAACAAATATGACACTGTTCTAAGAAAAGTGAGTCTATTTTGTGTTTCATAACTGTCAATCATATTTTGTAATCTAAGTTTTAATGATTTGTACTTATTCTTCATTGGAATGCGTTTAAAAATGCGTAAAACTTTTCTAAAAACGTTAATGTGAACCAGTATTTTACAGCAAAATTTTGCAAATGGATGTGATGGAATTGTATGTGATGAATTGTCGCAGTGATGAACTGTCACCGGGATGAAGTGTCCGTGACGAGATGTCGCGTGATGAAATGTCGTGTGATGAATTGTCGGGACACCAAACTCTGCATCTTCAGACTTCGATATCTACGATTTGTAAGAAGTCTTAGATTTTTTTAAGATAAAAGTTTCCAATGAACATGTACCGAATTTTTTTTACAAGGGAGCTACACTTTTYAATCACCGCTATATCGAAAAATAACATTAATAAAAAAATAAAACAAAAATAAAAAATAATAATAATAATTGGCAAGAGTAAAAATAAGTAATTGCTGGAAAATACGCACTTTCTATGGCTCATAAAGTCAGTAATATTTTACGAAAATCTATATTTTAAAATTTGTTTTAAATGAAAAAAAAACTTTTTCGCGATAATTTCTGTTAATAAAATATACAGAATGTGAGTGTTATACTAATTTTTGTCCCATTTTAGACGCTATGGAGTGCAAAAGGGCAGTAAAATGGCTTTGCGACTACATCGTGTCCCAATGTTCTCGCCCTCCACCAGCCCATTCCAAAGACCTCCACTCCACTATCGTCGCCGCCTTCCAATGTTGCTCAGTATGGCTCCTCGAACACCCTTACTTGCTCCGCGACAAAGACTGCCTCACCACAGTCCTCGAAGTGGCCGAACTGGGCGTATCGGGCACGAAATCCGTCGGCAAACCCGGCGAAAACATCAAAATGAAAGAACAAAAAGAACTTAAACCGGCATCGATGCGTGTGAGAGACGCCGCCGAAAATCTCCTCACATGTATTTTAGAACAAGTGGGCTATTTCCCTAACGAATGTGGTCCTGAATCGATTTCATCCCTCCTTGATGAACTCGCTTTATTACAACATTGCAATTCTTGGCCCACCAATTGCACGGATCAAGCCGCTGCGGTTGAACGATTTAGGTATTTTGTGACTGAAGGTTCGGTCATGTTGGCACTACTGGAAGAACCATTAGGGAATGACCAAGATCCACAACCGACAGTTACGATTTTAATAAGAGGGCCGTTTGGACGGCATGCTTGGACTATGCAATTGAGGCATTTGCCAAGGCATAGATCGGGTATGAKGTCTCATGCCTCAAATACTGGACGTCCGGTTGTCATGCACGAAACTCCGGTCTGTCCGCAAGTTAAGCAGAAATATTTTCCGGACAGTGTCGAGAGAGTCACTCAGTGCAAAGTGTAGGGGAACCCCCGAATGTATCACTTTTTTTTAGTTGCTTTTTTAGTGACCAATCTATCCCGCCCTTAGACTCGGTTATAGCCCAAGACGATCAAGTCGACGAAGAAACAAACAAATTGGTCCAATTAATRGAACGACAAACGACAGTCGAAGCAAACCTAGCCGCCTCACAATCGAATTGTGTGCCACAAGAGTGTACACCACCCCCTGTTTGTCACGATTTTCAGACTTCTAGGTTGTTTTTGTCCCATTTCGGGTTATTATCACTCGGAGATGAGGAAAAGTCAGAAGGGGCCTCGACTTTGACGGCATTGGACAGCAGCTCGGTTGATTTTTGCAAGGATTTGTCGGTTTTGGATCATTTGAGTCCGAGGACTTGTGACACCGTTCATATTTTCTACGTTAAATCTCAACAAGTCGACGCGAATGACATTGTAAATAATGTGAGAGTTCAGAATGACATTTCGCCCTATTTTTTCGAGTTTATACACACTCTCGGGTGGCCTGTTGAGGTTAATAAGCACCCAGGTATGAGTTTATGTCTATTTTACCGTGACTTTGAACTAATTTGAAATCTTAATTTGTGTCAAATTCAAATGATCAATTACACAGGGCGACAAAAAAAAGTGACAACTTAACAAATTTTATATCATTTTGTTTGTCTCAGTGAGACAAATCAAATGCACTAAAAAAAATTCAAAAAACCCACACACTTTGAACTAAATATTTTTTTTCCAATTTAAATAAATTTCAAATACTTTAACTTTAAAAAATCATTAGTCAATAAATATTAGGCCGATATCCTATCTTAAAAACTACTCGGTATATTATTTTAAAAATTTGGATTCTTACTAATAAAAAGATGCTCTACACAATGGTGACGAAGAAAAAAAAATTACTCGTAGGGTTTTCCTTAGATTACTTAGATTTACTTTGAACTTCTTCGAACACTCTTCGAAGAAAAGTTTGCCAATATTCAATTTCAAATTGCCATCCCTTTAGAATGGTTTTTATTTGAAGGAAATCGGCGTAATAGTTATTGAGTAATGATTTTTTAAAGTTTAAGTATTTTACATTCATTAAATTACAAAAAAATTATTTAGTTCAGTGTGTGGACTTTTTGGAATTTTTTTTTAGTGCATTTGATTTGTCTCACTGAGACGAACAAAATGATATAAAATTTGTCAAGTTGTCACGACATGACTTTTTTGTCGCCCTGTGTTATTATAGCCGTCATCTAAAACAATCTGATATCACAGACTAGAATGGTTACCAATAACTCACTGTTGCCAATAATTTTTTTGTAACAAACATTATAGTCACTCGATATTTTATTCAAGGCCGCTAATAAGAYATTTGACAATAATTTCAAGGTTGGACTGGGCACGTTTCGACCAGTTGGAAAATTTCCCCTCAGGAAAATTCTGTTTCTGCTCGCAATTCAAGCTATGACGGCACCACTCATGTCCTCTACTGGGCCGACGCTTGCTCTGAAATAGCCTTTGTGGTTCCTTCTGTCATAAAACCACCCGAACCATCAGAACAGTCGTCATACAGTGCTTCATGTAAGCCTCAAAACCCCTCAAAACCATTTCTAAATCCATTATTTTAGTTTGGTACGAACGCAGCCTATCTGAGACAAGTAAAGATAAAAGAGCCCTYAGTCTCGAGTTGGATAAACAACCGGTGCCTCCTCGACGTTCAGGGCCCCGATCAAATCTCCACCCACACACGAATACAAAAATAATGGTGGTGTGGTTAGAGAGTTTCGAGGACCATTTAAATCTACCGATTGGTGAGACTTTTACATAAAKAAATCTCAGTTTGGTAATTATTTTTTCAGATGATTTACTGAACTGTATGCATACCGGTTTAGAGCGAGGTTCTGTCATAAAAAGCAGCGAAGTTCTGGTGATTTACTTACATTTAATGGCATCGGGGCTGTTGAGGGTCCATTTGCAAGGGCCTCCAGGGCGTGTGGGGCTAGCCTCGCCCCTTATTGACGGAATGGTGGTCAGTCGGCGCGCTCTAGGCCCTCTTGTGAGACACACAGCCTTGAATATGGCCCGGCGGCGACGCCTCGATTCCGATAGTTATCAGCCCCCACATGTCAGACGCCGGCTTAAAATCCAGGAAATGGTTCAGAAATATAAACGCGAAATGTCTAAACCTGAATTGTTAACTTATTTATTTAGTTCTACTTAAGGAAAAATTAAATTGAATTGGTAATTTTTCGGCGTCTCATGGCTTGTAACCATTCCTCTAGTTGTTGGTGGGGCTCTTTGGGGTGATTTTGATAGTAGTGTTTAGGGGGTTTCCCTTCTTCAAGACGGACGAAATAATGACAGTGCATGTATTCAACAATGCCGTGTCTGCCTCTGGCGTGTCTTCTTATGCCTTTGATGACTTGGCCTTTGCCAACAAATGATTCAGCTGGAATGAGTTTGAGTAGTAAATGARATTTTACCAGATTGGGGGTACGCACCAACCCATAAATTACTGGCAAACTCAACGTTATGTTCCTTTACTGCCAAATCTCGCGCTTCTTCAATTGTCTCGCGGGCGTCTTTAGCCCCCTTCTTTGGCAGAAATTTTAACTGTTTGATTGCCTCGTCGACGGTCATGCCGCGAACCAAGCATGCCACATACCACATTTTAAAAGGGCTGTATTTAATATTGCATCTTTGATGGCACACATACTGATATTTCTTATTAAATTTAAATTTGCATTTGGGAAAGTTACTTACGGCAGGTCGAGGGGTTTCATCAGGGGATTGTGGCGGATAAATCTTCTTATTGTATTCGATAAAATGAGTGGGTTCTTTGGAATTACCTCCCCAAGCATTGAGTACAGAAGAATTGTGAATTTTTTTAGTACCAGCTGATAAAATTGGCAATTCAGATAAAAAACTAAATTTAAATAACCTGCGACTTTTAATTAACGCCATTATAACGCAATTCTTTYAAAAAACTAATTACAAAGATTACTACACAATTTTTTCAGGTTASGTRGACATAACCTAACTTTTTATTATACTGTCAAAAAACTAACCTATAAAAATAAGTGAGGTCAAAATGTTGAAAATTTTGCGAACGGTTTTGAAACCGACGTTTTTAAATCCGGTAAACAGTCCGAGAAGCTTCTTTCGAACATTTTTATCACAAGCGTATTACTGTAACGAAGTTTGGGATGACCGGCTGAACAGCCCCCTTTTACAAAAAGTGAATCTGGACGGTTTTTACTACGAGTTGGACCAAGGTTTTCAAAAAACCCGCCGATTAAGCCCTGTCGATGTCGATATATTCGCAAATGCGGTAAAAGATGATGTTTTTATTGACGAATTGTTGGATTTAGTTCACAAACTGAGGTTAAGCCAAGACACTGGGAACACATTAAATTCAACTAGTCATGCTGTAATTAGGGCACTTGTACGAAATGACAAAATTAAAGAGTTGCTTCAAGTTTTGGATGACCGATTGAATTATGGACTTTTCTTGGATGATTATACTGCAAATATTTTAATGGATAAGTTCTGGAAAAGTAAGGATTTTATGGCTGGGTGTCTTGTCGCTAGTCAAATGATGCTTCAAGAGGATTTTAAGCATCCAGTGACTATAAATTTGGCATTATTACATTGCTATAATTATTTATTAAAGCCGGGAGATTGGCTCGAAATGCCCCAACCGGAAGAACCTGAGGAGGAAGTTAAAATCCGGGTGAAATTTCTACGGAACCCGTTTAATGATGAACATTTCGATTTGAAAGAACCCCTGAAAATTGTAGGAAAAACACTAGCTGCAGCTACTAAAGACAGAAAAGATTCATTGCACCACTCACTGAAAATTATCGGRCTCTCGTTATTTGGCAAASAAGAATTAGTCAAAAAAGAAATTGAAACTTGTACAAAAAACAACACCAAGATAATTAAGGAAATTGTGGACCTTCTTCCCGATGACAATCCTTTCAAAGAGAATTTAAACCAACTACAATTGGTTTCTGAAAACGTACAAAATCTTTTAGAGAACCAGTTAACTGAAAGCGTTGCCGTGACGTCAGAGAAGGATATAGCCAATCAATGTAATTTGTTCAAACAATGGGAAAACGAAAGACTTCAAGCTTTGGAAGAACAGAAGAAACGTCTTCTCACCATTGAAAGACTAGCAGAAGTGGAACGAATGAAGAAAGAACTGAAAGAAAAAGAAGAAAAATTATGGTTCTTTGAAAACGAAGAAAAAATCGAGCTTGAAATCGAAGAGGGCACAGACGCAGTACCAATCCAACAAACCAAAGAGAAGAAAACGGACGAAAATTACGTCCCGCCTGAAATAGTAAAAACCCACAACTAATTTTTCATATTGTAATTACATAACAAAAAATATAAATAGTAATAAAAACATTTTGGTGTCTTTTATCCATAACAAAATTGCACTATTTTACCGCTGTTTTAGCAACAGTTCTGTTTCTTTCCGCATTTCCTGCAAGTCCTTATTTACTCTTTCCAACTTGACAGCACTTTCTTTGGCCGTTTCTGAATCAATTTGTTCTTGAAGATTCCTACATTCCCGCTCAACAGCCCCCAAATCGGTCACGGCTTTTATTATACTTGAACAGTCGTCACGCAATTGAGCCAACAATTTGTACGCTTTTCTCGCAGTTTCATCTTGTTTTGCATCCTATGGAAATAATAGTTTTTTTTTTAATTGTCACAATAATAAATAAACTAACCCTGAATATTAACTCGTCTGCGAGAGTGAAAGACCTGTCGACTTGCCCCGTCAAATTGCTGATTTCCCGTTGGACCATTTTAGTGTCTTTGAGTATTTTTTGTATTTCTTCATCTTGTTTTTTGATGTTACCAATAATTTCCAAAATTCGCCTTGTGTACCCTGACCTGTTGTGAGTTTTGTTAATTTGTTGCATTTTCCTCCTTAATTCTTCTTCCAATTGCGTTTTTTCGTGCAAATCAACTTTTAMWGCCTTTTGTGTCTCTTCTAGTTTTCGTAATTTTTCTTGTTCCTGTTGTCGCTTCAAATCCTTATTACTGATTGCATTTTGTAACGACTTATATTCTTCCAATAGTGGTGTTTGGATTTGATTCCACTGTTCGGTCAAATTGAGCAATTTATTTTTACTAGCTTCAATCATGTTCTTCAATTTTTGGAGATTTTCTTCCTTACTTATAACAGTAAGTGTTTTTGATTTCAAACTAACTTGGGCAAGAGTATTTTGGAGCATTTCTTCATCTTCTGTTTTTATTTTAATGGCTTGTTTCAGCTGTATTTCGCAACTTTTTACAGCATCTTCAAGTTCCAGGCATTTTTCTTTCCTTAATTTTAATTCTTCTAATAATGAATGTAARTTATTCTCAGTTTCTGACTCAGTCGCTTCTGTGACATTCACAGATTCAGCCTTTGTAGTTGCTTGGACTAGCTCRGATGAACTTATTAATAACTCTGAAGGCAATTCTTCCGTCTTTGAAGACATTTTTAAACATTGTCTTAAATTAATATRTTCACTAGTGATAAGACTATCTTGAAATAAAAGTGATGGTAGTAATTCTTTAGAGGAGCATTGTTTTGTGATGGCAGGAACATTGTGAATCCAGTATTGTTTCAAGGCCTCATTATTATAAGCCTTTGAACTAGATGGAACTCTAAGTGTTTTAGTATACAAAGGTCTGCTGTTTCCTAAACTGTTGAAAATATATTCAGTATCACTCTTGCGATAACCGTTATGTAAAACACAAGAAGGCACCCACAACTGCTGTAGTGACTTTTTTACTTTATGTTCAATTTCTTTAACTAGAGTCGGGATATAACCAGTTTGTTCAACATGAATAGTTTTACTACTCTCTCGTGGCAATTTTTCAATAAGAAACATTAAAATCCTGCGAACTTCACCTTCATTACAGTACAAAATCGTTTGATAACCTATATCATCTCGATAGCCCAAATCCTTAATTTGTGCTGCTAGACTAGAACTAATTTTCAGTTTGTTACTCATTGAAGGCGGCAATTTTTTTGGAAAATTCGTATCTGGAATTATAGTTTCCAAACAGCGTGAAATAGCTGTTACAATCATATCGGCATCAAATTGTTTTAAAGAGGTGACATCTTCGTCGAAATCACTGCAAGTTTTAACATTAAATTAAAGATTTTGTAATTGTAATCGTACCAATGAAGATTTTTTAAAGAGTCAATGATAATTCCATCTATTTCTTCCATTCTTAAAAAAATTGTAAAAAATGTCAAAACAAACGTCAATGTCAATGACACAGGTGAGTCGATGACAGAAAACTATCATACTACCAACCTTCTCTGCTACTAATGAAAAGTGATTTTACTAGAGGTTACCTAAAGTTGATTGGAACGCATTATATAGTCAAATATCTTTTTGTATCACTTTATTAATAAAAACTACTTGCTTTCTGTTTAAACTTCTAATTAAAAACTTAAAGGTACAACTTTATAAACTTAAATTCACCAGATTTTAAATTTAGTGACATAAACCGTGGTCAGAAGAAAAGAAAAATCTTTTATTAGACATTTAATTAATTGGAAGAGAATTTTATGTATGGAATACTGACACCATTTAATTAAAGCTTCAAAGAAAAAAAATAATTGGAGCATGTAAAGGTTATTTGAACTTTTTGTTAAACAACAATCATTTTACAGTAAAGCGTCTAAAAATATGCTATTTTGGCATTAAAGATACTAGCGTGTAATTTAGAGAACGGGGGAGATAAAGAACGATTGAAATTGGTTTTATATTAATCTAAACCCTGTAAAATCGGGTATTTCCACCACGAGCTCTTATTGTTATAGTCTCAAGCCTACGTGGCATACTTTGAATTAAATTTTGAATGGCTTTTTGAGGAATGTTTTCCCAATCTTCTTGCAACGCAGCTCTCAAATCCTGTAGTGTCAAAATATAATAATTCTTGCCTAGAACGCACCCGAATTTGTGTTCCTAGCATATCTCAAACCAAAAATAACGCACAAAATTAATATTTTTGTTATTGGATTCATTTTGAAAGAACCCGGCTCAAATTCATTAACATCAAGGGAGGGCTCTTTGAGGAAGAAAAACGGAAAGGGCAGACTCTCGTAGAGAACTTAATATGGAAGTCAACACTGTGGATGTGAAAACTAAAGTCTGTTTTTTTAAATGGAAATGCCAAACAGCCTTAACGTTGGCAAAACTAACGATATATATTCATAGTAATTTCAATAAATAAAAATTGGCAATACCTATTTTTYACTTTAATTTAAATTGTCAAAAAACGTCAGTCTGTTAAAATCAAAAATGCCTTCGGGTAAATTTATTGATGCTGGGCTAATGGCCTCCATCAAAACTTGCCAAAAGCAGTTTTTAGAATTGTGCCCTACCTACTATGCGAAAAATGGAAGTAATTAAACGGTTGGCTGAAACATTCAAGGTACAAGTTCACATGAAAGTACAGAAATAAAATGCAGTTATTTTTAGCTTAAAAAATCAACAATATACAAAATTTTAAGTGGAAAACAAGAGACAATAAGAAAAACAAAAAGGGGAAAAAAATAAAGGGGTTTGGTTTCATAACCTTTATTTGCGAGAGGAATTAAGCCGGCATGTTTTTAATCTTTTAAAAAGTGGGCAAAATTTCAGTTTAAATGACTTTCATGAATTTGCAAAAAATGAACTTGATTTTCCGGCTTCTAGAAGTTTATTGTACCAAATTTTACGTGACATCGGTTTTAAATATAAAAAAATTAATGATAGAAAAATTTTATGTGAAAGAAGTTACGTTGTGCGGGCCAAAATTACTTTTTTAAGAAAATACTTACAACTTCAAAATTCTAGTGAAAACGTTTTTATTTTTTTAGATGAAACATGGATTTTTAAGAATGGAAGTCAGGTGAGACGGTGGGTGAAAGAAGATGACAGGAGAATGAATGATATCAAAATTACAAATGAAGGTGAATGATTCATAGTTTTACATGCCGGCTACAAGGGTGGGTTTCTTCCAAATTGCGGGTTACTTTTTTCTTCTAAAAACAATGACAGGGACTATCACAAATCGATGAATGGGGAATTATTTTTAAATTGGGTGGAAACAAAATTAATTCCGGACTTGGGCAAAATTAATAAGAAGTGTGTTATTGTAATGGACAATGCGCCGTATCATTCCGTTCTTTCAGAATTTTCTAATAAATTAACTCTTCAAAATTTTCTTAAAAACATAATGTACCTTTCGATGTAAAATTAACAAAAAAAGAACTCTGGCTGTTAGTAGAACCTTTGGCTAGTAATGATCAAAAAAAATTTGTTGTTGATGAACTTTTAATATCTCATGGACATAATGTTTTGCAACTACCCCCATACCATTGTCAATATAATCCGATTGGTGGTTTTGTAAAAATTATTATAACAAAAATGTCACAGATTCAAAATTTTTCGGGAGTGATAAAACTACAAGAGTTTGTCAAGAATCATTATCAAGATTTACAGTCGAAATGTGGGAGAATTATGTAAAACATGCAGAAAATTTAATTAGAGAAGACTGGGAAAAAAACATGGGAAGCATGGATGTTTCCAATGTTCCCCCTTTAATTATATCATTTGAAAATGAATCCGATTCGAAAGATGAGATATTATCATCTGACGACGAAGATTCGTTTTCAAATGAAGAGCAAACTTTTTCTGATTAATTTTTCTGTTAGCACAATTACGAAAAGTGTTCATTATAATAATATGCTTCTTGGGGAACTGTTTGGATTATCAAAATTATAATGATATTATTTTCTCAAAGGGTGGGTTTTGACGTGGTATATTCTATATTTGTTGTTGATACATATGAATGTAATTTCTTGTTCTTGTTACACCTGGGGCCCTACCACAGACTCGAGTGAGATTTCTCACTGGTGACTTTTGCCACCAAAATGACGTAATTTTAATGAGAAGTGCTAAAACCCTACTATTGACGCAATGACTTTTCTCACCGGTGACAAAACTCGAATGAAAACGCATGAGTTTTTTCGAGCGCTTTATTATGAGTGAGATTCATAGAAAACTCGTGAGACTTGACATTTGTAGTAATTTAAATTCAAATGAAGAATTATTGTTGGTTTAAATGAGTAATATATGAATTGTTTAATTAAAAAAAGTGAATATTTTATATTTTTAGTTTATTATCATTAAATTTCAGACAAAATTTGAAGAAAAACGCAGGTAGCTAACCCACCACACGCTCTCTTTTTTGATCTTGATGATACTATTATTCACAGCTATTATTTCTTGCAGATGTTATCTAAATTTTGACAATTTACTCTTTACATCGTTTTTCGCCTGTGTTTTTCATTCTTCTATTTTTGCGTCGTACGTTTTATTTCCCTTCGTTTAATCAGTCCTTTTCAGGACTCCTCCTTGAAGGCTTTCTTCTTACAAAGGTATTAAAATTATTCTATAAACCAAATGTTTGAGCACTGCAATCAACTTGTAGTAACTCGTCGCTGCTTGTAGTGCACAAAATGCATGATTTAATGATGCTCAATTTAATTGACGATTTGGAAGAGGAAGAAGAAGTAGATGTGCCATTGAGGCGAGCTACTGCTGGAGATCCTTTGCGGGAATTGCCAGAAAGACAATTTGTCAAGCTGTTTCGAGTGTCCAAAGACTTATTTAATTTTATTGTAACTGTTGTGGAACCTTATATGCGTCCAAAGAGAAGGCCCAGTGATTTATCTGTCCATACTCGAGTAACTAAGCCAATAATGTAATAATTCTGGCCGAGTCCGCAAAAACTCGACCAGAATTTCTTTCTGCTCCTCCGTCACCTTCATAGTATTTGGATTTGGAAAATCAAAAATGGAAAAATTGGGAAAAATGTTTTGTCAAACGCTAAGCAACGAGCGCGAAAGTGCTACGTTGCAATATCAAACCGGTGACAAAACTCATCGGTTAGATTTCTCATTTCACGCAATGTCAATAGTAGCGTTTTTTTTAAAAATGAGTGACAAAATGTACGTGAGTTTGTCACCGGTGAGAAAACTCATCAAAGTCGGTGGTAGGCCCCCTGGACCCTGCTGACAAATTTAGAATCAAGTGACTCCACTATTTCATACAAAAGAAAAGTATGAGAGAAAAATGTGGAAAGGAAGTGTGTTTTTAAAACAAATAATATAATTATCTATTCTACCCGCAGTTAGTGTTTCTTCAAAGTCTTGAGTAAAATTAAGGAGACCAATTAAAGTATTTCGGGAATGATCGATAGATAAATTAACGACGTCACCTTTCAGTTTGAATCTTCTGCTATATTTGATTGCTTTAGCCTTTGTTGCAGTCTAAAATTTACTTTGTAACCTAATAATGAAGAAGACACTGAGATGTTCATAAGTAAAATTAAAAGTTGCAATCATTTGTTAAATTATGCATTAAAAGTTCCTTTAAAATTGTTAGATTCAGTATACGTTGTACACGAATAAAATTGTTATTACCAACATTTTTACCAGATTTTTGACTTGGTAATTTCCATTTAAAAAAAAACAGACTTTATGTAGTAAACGTTATTCCAATACAAATGAGCCATTAACAATTTTATATTTGCTTCAAGTTTAATTAAGTAATTTGTTTTTGAAGAAGTGATCTCCCGCCAATGCTCTCTTTGCGCGCGCACCTGAATGGGATCACTAGCTGTCTATTGGTCGAAGCACATTTGACGGTTTTTATTTGAAGTGATTTTAATCAAAAAATTATCTCAACCATATTTTTTTGAAACTGATTGCCCCGTTAAAATTTTTAATTATTGTTGAGCTTGTTTGTGTGTAGTTTATAGTAATGTTTTTACAAGTAAGTCGAATTATTGCTTCAAGACACCAATTTCTTAACCAAACTTTAGTTTTCTCCTCCGGTGAGACAAGTAACGAAAAAAACGGCTATAAAAGAAGTCGAACCGGAATATGCCGTACTATCGTTGGCCCCTTTTACCCCCAATCCGAAAATATGTTTCGAAAACGTCAAAATCGGCCAAATGACCACACAGAAATTGATCATAAGGAATCCGACAAGCCAGAAAACAGAGGTATATTTTGAAATTTCTGATTCACTTTTTTAGTCAGTTTTTTAGCTGTTTGCAAAAATAACAATTCCGGAAGAAATAAACTTGTGTTTAAATTGGTTTGGATGCATAATTGATGCACAGAGTGAAGAAACCCTTGAACTTATTTGGACCCCTACTTGTGAAGGAGCTTGGCGGTTTATTTTACAACTAACTGACGGTAAAAGAACATGCAGGGACATTCCTGTCGTTCTTAAAACAATTACTTCTAAAGTAAGTACAAGGGGCAAAAAATTCGTTAATAACTTGATTGATGTTTTAGAAAAACAAAAAGGTGATCCAGAAACGCCTACCACGGTTTGTGGCCAAGAAAAACACATCACCAGTTCAAAGTTTTGCCAGTAGAAGAAGGTCGCCACAGAAGAGAACAGCCCTGCCCAATATCACAAACATACCGACCATAGTTGAAATGCCCCCAGAAAATGTATTTTATGGGAAAGAAAATTTTAGTTTTATTCCGGATACAAGTTTCAAAGTTGAATTAAGAAGGGAGACCTACACCGTGGATCATAACATCCCCGAGTCGGTTTTTGATGACAGTTTGGAAAACATAACTGTGGTAAAGTCCCCAAATGTTTCATTTGAACGTCGGCTACAGTCAGAGTCGTTTGCACTTTCATCACTGTTAACACCCTCCAATAACATCGAGTTCAATCCTGATCACTGCTCAACTGATGAGAAATCAATTAACATCACTAATGTTGTTCCTTATTGCAAACCAACGTCGCTATTTCCAGACACAACCTTCGAAATTGTTAAAAATCTAAGTACTGAAACCTACGTCAAGTCAAATTTAAGTTCTGAAACCTACACTAAATCCGATTCGGTTCCGAACATTTCCGATGTGAGCGTATTAAGCACACCCCCGAGTTTTTCCCAGAAATCCCGCCTCGACAGCCTCCTAGGCAATGGAGTGAAGATGACAATAGAGGCCGATATGTGGTCGAACGCRTGCGCCAATCGGCCTCTAGTCGCGATTAAAGAAGAACCAGAAAGTGTGCCCCCAAAATCAAAAACTTTGAAACGCAAAAGCGACGTCACTTTCAGCGTGACATCACCGAAACGACCGAATCGGGGTTTCCCCCAAGACTGGACTAAACGAAACGTGTTTGTTTTCGAACCGGAAGTCGTGGTTTGGTTGGAGGGACAAGAGGAGAATTTTAAAAAGTGGCTCAATGCCATTTTGACACCACCAATCGATCTCGATTCGAACGAGCAAGGGCATCCGCTAAATGTCGCTCAATTGTGGCGAGACTGCAAGAAAAGGGAAGTTGAGGCGGCACCAACGAGGGAAGTACTCTCGGAAAGATTTCACAATAATTCGAAATTGAACGCTTTGAGGAGGACAGCGAAGATGTTTTACCAGTCTGTTGAAATTCAAACTGTTTTGAGTAAAGTATGGGCGGCTGTGGATGTGAACAAACTTGCTATAAGGGATGACCGCGATGTGCATCTAGACTTGGCCCTACAAGCCGATGTCATGCAAGTGGTTTTGAGTTACAATCCCTTGTGGTTGCGTATCGGTCTGGAAACCATTTATGGACGGGTAATTCCCCTGAAATCCAATTCGGATATTTACGGTTTGACCAGATTTCTTTGGGAGAGGTTTATGAGGGATCCGGTTTTACTAAAGAAACACCGGTCGGTGCATTCGCCGAAATATAAGTCCGATATTAAAAAATTCATTTTGAAGAAGTTTCTCGCTTTGATTTATTTCTTAGATCGGGCCAAGACTAATAAATTGATAGCTCACGACCCTTGTCTCTTCTGCAAAAATGCCCCAATTAAAGAGAGCCAAACTGCTCTAACAACATTCTCTCGAGAAACTCTATCTTCAATGGGAGACATCACAAAATATTTGAAACACTACCACTATATGCTCGAACACAAACAAACCTACTTAAACGAATTTGATTACGCCGTCAATTGTCTCGGAGTCGACTTGAGAGACGGTGTCAGACTCACACGAATCATGGAAGTCATCCTTTTAGAGGAAAACTTAAGTAAAAATCTCCGAGTCCCTGCCATTTCTCGTTTGCAAAAAATCCACAACATGAAAATCGTGTTTGAAGCTTTGCAAAAATCAGGATTCGAAATCCTTTACGATATATCTCCAAGTGATATTGTCAACGGACACAAAGAAAAAACTTTGTCTTTCCTGTGGCAACTCATTTACAAATTCCATACTCCACTAATGGCCAAAAGTGTGACGCTTATAACAAAATGGTGGCGAAGTGAACGAATTGTTCAAAAAAGACGCCACTTGACACGGATTCGAGAAGAGAAAAATTTGGCTGCTATAAAAATCCAAAAGTGCCTTCGGATGTTTTTGGCTAAACGCCGGTACCAAAAGTTGCAAAAGAGTGTCATTTTGATGCAGAAGTGTTTCAAAGCTAGGAAACAGAAAAGAGAATTTGATAATTTGAAAGGAGCAGTTTTGGTGATTCAGCGCCGGTGGAGGGCGACTTTAGCAATGCGAATTGAAAGGGTCAAGTTCCAGGTTTTAAAGGAAGCGACGATTTACGTTCAGAGACGATTTCGGGCTAAATTAATGGGGGAGACAGATTTGAATCGATTTGAGAAGCTGCGACAAACTGTTGTGTTTGTCCAAAGGAAATGGAGAGCAAAGTTAATGATGAGACAACAATTGTGGCATTTTCAGACTTTGAAAGTTACGGCTATTATCGTTCAGAGACGCTTTAGAGCAAACAAAATATCAAGAATGCAATTTGAAGCTTTCAACCGGTTAAAAAAAGCAACGATTTTTGTGCAAAGGCGGTGGAGAGCGAATCGTGCAATGCGTGCTCAAATAGAGCGCTTCCAAAGTCTGAAAAAAAGTACAGTTTTGGTACAGCAAAAATGGCGAGCAAAAGTCGCAATGAAAATGGAACAAAAACAATTCAAACAACTCAAAAACGCAGCAGTTGTCATTCAGAGTTGCTTCAGAGCGAAATTAGTATACGAAAGGTTCAGGAATTTAAAACGGGTCACAATTTTGATTCAGAGGAAATGGAGGGCAATATTAGCAATGCGTACCCAATTGGAGGAATACGAGACTTTGAGAAAAACGACTGTTTTTATTCAAATGAAATGGAGAGCAACTTTGAGAATGAGAAAGGAAAGAGAAGAATTTTTAGCAATGAAGAAAGCAACCGTTTTGCTTCAAAGCTACTTTAGAATGAGATTGGAAATGGACAAATTTAATCAACTGAAAGGAGCTGTGATTTTCGTGCAAAGCAAATGGCGAGCAAAAGTGGCGTTAGAGAAATATCAAGCTCTAAAAAAAGCTAGTCTTTTTGTTCAGAGGAAGTGGAGGGCTAAAATCGCAATGATTTGTTCGAAAGGGAAGTTTGAAGCTTTGAAAAAAGCCGCTATTGTGATCCAGAGACGTTTTCGAGCAAATAAAGCTGCAAAATTGGAAAGGGATCGTTTTAATACACTCAAGAGAGCTTCAATTTTAATTCAACGAAATTGGAGGAAGAGGAAAATCATGATTGAATACCGAAATTTGAGACAGGCTGTTATTTTCGTACAAAATAAATGGAGAGCTAAATTAGCAATGAGAAACGCTGTCCTGAGATTTGAAGAGTTGAAAAAGGCAACTTTAGTGATTCAAAGACGTTTCAGAGCAAATCAATTAGCAACAATTGAAAAGAATAGTTTTGATGAGTTGAAAAGGGTCACAATATTGGTTCAAAGAAAATGGAGAGCAAAGTTAATGATGAGATCCCAATTTTCCAATTTCCAAGTTTTGAAAAATGCTACTATTACCATTCAGAGACGTTTCAGAGCTAACAAAAGAATGAAATTAGAGAGAAATAATTTCCAGGCTTTGAAGACTGCTACTATCTTCATTCAAAATCGTTTCAGAGCAAATAAATTCGCAAGAATTGAAAAGAACAGTTTTGATGAGTTGAAAAGAGTGACAATTTTGGTTCAAAGAAAATGGAGAGGAAAATTAGCGATGAGATGTCAAGTTACGAAATTCCAGACTTTAAAAAATTCCACTATTACTATCCAAAGACGTTTCAGAGCTAACCAAATGACGAAATTAGAGTCGAACAATTATAAAGCTTTAAAGACCGCTGCTATTGTAATTCAACGACGTTTTCGAGCAAATAAATTGTCAAAAGCTGAAAAAAACAATTTTGAAGAATTGCAAAGAGTAACGATTTTGATTCAAAGAAAATGGAGAGCGAAATTAGCGATGAGGTCTCAAGTTGTGAATTACCAGGCCTTGAAAAATGCTACTATTACTATTCAGAGACGCTTCAGAGCTAACAAAATGGCAAAATTGGAGTCGAATAAATATCAGAGTTTGAGGATTTCCACTATCTTCATTCAGAGACGTTTCAGAGCAAATAAATTGTCGAGGACTGAAAACAATTATTTTAAAGAGCTGAAAAGAGTAACAATTTTGGTACAAAGAAAGTGGAGAGCAAAGGAAGCAATGAGACGTCAAGTTGCGAATTTCCAAAGTTTGAAAAATGCTTCTATTTCTATTCAGAGGCGTTTCAGAGCTAACAAAAAGGCAAAATTAGTGTCAAACAAATATAATACATTGAGGGCCGCTACTATTTTGATTCAAAGACGTTGGAGGGCCACTTTATTAATGAGGACTGAATTGAGGAAATACCAAATTTTGAAAGTAGCAACTCTTTCAATTCAAAGACGTTTCAGAGCAAACATTGCTCGAGAAACAGATCGAAATAATTTTATCGCTTTGAAGAGAGTCACTATTGTAATTCAAAACCAATGGAGAGCTGTACAGGCAATGCGACGAGAGAGAAAGAAATTCAATGATTTGAAACGAGCAGTGATTTTAATTCAGAGATTGTGCAGAAGACGACTTGTTTTAATGCACGAATTGAGAAGAAAACGAGAAGAAGAAGCAAGTATCGTTATTCAGAAGCATGTGAGGGGGTTTTTGGTTCGACATAAATTTTCGAAATATTTAACACCGGAAGCAATTGCCGAGCGAAGAGAACTGAAGATAAAGAACTCCGCTGCGACTAAAATTCAGGTTATTTCTTCTTTTAATAGTGTTTTGTTTGAGTTAATTTTGTGAAAATTTAGGCTGTTTGGAGAGGTTACAAATCGCGGTTGTCTCAACCACCCAAACTCAAGAAGATCTGTAAGAGATTGAATGAAGCAAATGCATTGGCTGTTCCGCAAAATACTCTCGGCTCGCGGTGCAGGAAAGCTGTTTTACAGTTAAACAYCAGTAATTTATCAACTGATGAAATTTTACGCATTTTGGAAGACTTAGGTAAGAGATTGGGCGATATTTTAAGTCGTATTGTAAACCGATTTTTTAGACTTTTTCACGAGAAGAAGTAAGGAATCCTGTCTGCAATTAGGAGCCAAATTACCGCGCTGTCTCTATCACACTATAACATCAACGAATAGGTCGCCTCACGAGATTCAAGTTTCCACAGCGGCAACTTTAATTTTAATCAATTTCTACCGCTTTGAGCCGACTCGGAGTAAAACGTGGATTCCTGAGTTCATCGAACCATTATTGTCTGTGATGCTTCATTCTTGTGATAAGGAGACGCCTCTATTTCCCACACTTTGTACTTTGTTTTGGTTGTTTTCGCACAATGAGGAGTACAAAAATACCATCATCTCCAGTCCGAATTTCAAACAGAAAATGACGCTTATTTGTAAGCATTGCGACCGAAAGGAAAAAATGAACAGCAAAATCAACATTAGATTTCCGTCATTTTTTTCGCCATACGAAAAACTGCCGTTACCTAGTCTTACTCCAGACTGGGGGTTGGACTACAAAGATAACCCGAAAACGTTCAGTAATTCGATTCACGCCCTTAAATGTTTAACAAGTAGATTATGCTTTTAATGTTTATTGTTTTTATTAAATGAAATACAGTGCTTTCTTTTACCTACTTAGTATGTTTGTATTAAGAAAGTTAATGTGGTGGCGGTGGGACCGGTAAAACCGCTCCCATCAGGGGCGGCGGCGGCGGGATGGCATTAAACATCGGGGGCCTAGGCGGCGGAGGCACCGGTATCATCGGTGGTGGCGGCACTCCTCCCATCATGTTCCCTGGCCTCGCTATAATTGTCGTTGGTTTCTTCGCTTCATTCTTAAACGCAAATTGGAGGAAAAACTGCTTTGTGTCAATATTCCAGTGCGTCCAGAACTTGTTGTCTGTCTTCTCAACTTCCCTACTCGGCACTTTGAATGCAATCGTCTCATAGGGTTCAGCCGCAAAAAGCAAGTACTGCCACTTGCGATCTGGTGGTTCGATTTTTTGCTCATAAGCCGACATGAATCTGTGGCGCGGTATCACGTTATCAGTGATTTCTGGGTAGTCAATTTGGAAGAGGAGACTTTGCTGGCCTGTCTCAGGATCTCTTTGTTTGGTTACTCGATAGCCGGGTCTTCCGATTTTGACGAACTTTTTCGGTTCGACTCTGGGTTTTTCGGGTTGAAGTAGTGTGGGAGCGTCTTTTGCTTCTTTAGCGGCTCTGCGCGCCAAGTTCGCTTGATGCTTCTTGCCTTGAGTATGGGCGAGGTAGCTGCCCTCGTTATTGTGTAATGTAAGACATAGTTTGCACTCGTAGGATCCCAAGTGGTTTTTCATAAAATAGGGGTCCTTTTGGAGGTCGATGGTCTCTAAGGCTAGCTGGCGGAGACGCTCACGGCGGTCCCGGTTAGTTTCCGACCAGGAGGCCACACCACCGCCTCCGGTCTTACCTCCAGGACGATTTTGGAAATCCATTACTCAATTTAGTATAAATATGTCTTGGAAATCCACAAAAACTTAACTACGTTTTGAGAACGACCATTAATAAAATTATTGAGGTTAACTGCAACTTTTTTGACAAGCTTTTGGTAAATTTCTTTCTACCAACATAAATATGCAACCAAATTTAATTTTATATGTTTTTTATACTCCCAATATAAAACATTTTATTAATGCAAATGATAAATGAAACTTAGATTAAGATAGGGTTAAATGTACTTTGTAATAAATAAGCAAAAGGATAAAACAACTTTATGAAAGAATATTAGTGACTACTGACAATTGTTGGCAATCCTGCTCCTACCTTTCTAAAGTTGACAATTTCTTTTCAACATGGTGGGTATTTCAAGTGCTCAATTTTACCATTTTTCTAACTTAATCTCAATCATCTTCTTTGATAATTACTTTTTAATAACTTGAATTGTTAGTTTTATTAATTTTCTGCTAATTAAAATATGTATTTATGTCGATTTGTGACAATTACAAGTGTTTACAACAACATTGTGGTTATGTTCTAGTCGACCCATAAGAAGAAAACGAGGAAGTTGAGGGGCCACGTGAGCCATGGACACGGTCGTATTGGTAAATAAGACTTCTTCTTTTATACCTTTCACACCTTTCACGATGATACAAGAACGGGCGGTATGAGTACATTCTGATTAACGTTCTCGACTGATTCTCCGTTTTTAAACCCTTATTACAACTAGTTTGGGTTGGAAGCTAAAAAAACTTGTTACAGGTAAGCACCGTAAGCACCCTGGAGGTCGCGGTAATGCCGGTGGTATGCATCACCATAGGATCAATTTTGATAAGTACCATCCAGGATACTTTGGAAAGGTTTGTTTTTTGCTATGATAAAATGAATACTAATTTTTTTTTCCAGTTGGGTATGAGAAATTATCATTTGAGACGTAACACCAAATGGTCTCCTTCTATCAATTTGGACAAATTGTGGACTCTTGTTAGTGAGCAGACAAGATTGAAATACAAAGACCATCCTGAAGGAAAAGCTCCAGTTATTGACATTGTCAAGGCTGTAAGTTTTTTAATACAATTGTTTAAAGAGAATGATGGTTTAATGATGAAATGTAAACGGGCGGTCTGATTAGAATGCTGATTGTTTATTTACTGACTGGTGTTGATCATTTATTCTAGTTTTTTTATTTTATTACAAATACCTAATTTCTCTTTTTGTTTCAGGGCTATTACAAATTGTTGGGTAAAGGGCGCCTTCCTAAACAACCTGTCATCGTTAAAGCTAAATTCTTCTCTAAATCAGCAGAAGAAAAAATCAAAGCTGTTGGAGGAGCGTGCGTTTTATCGGCTTAATTTGTAACAAAAATACATTTTATAAGTTATTTCTGTGTTTTATTCACTGCATCATTTTTTCGTATACGCTCCCGAAAATAGCTGTTTTAGGGACTCATTTGAGTGACATTGACGACCAACATCTTTTGTACGCGATTGTTTTGAGCTATACTTTTTTTTTATATTAATATGCATCAAGTAGGTTATACAAGTCTAAATGTATCTTTCATTTAAAGGCCGATTCACACAAAAAGTCACTAATGTCATTCAGAAAAAAATTAATGACAAAAACCTTTAAGTTTGCTACACTATGTTAATTTTAGTTATTATTTGCTACCTGGGGTTCATGCTTATTTGAAAAAAATATTTTTAGCGAAGATTGAGGTTAGGAGTGTTTGAATTTTCGCATGGTTGCCATCCTAAAATGATCCGTTTTAACGATTATTTCGATGCACAAATATGAAAACGAGTATACATTGAAAAAAAAAACGGGAAATGAAATTTTTCCAAATGTAAATTCGGTTCTAGTTGTCAATTGTCAACTTGACAATACCTATCAAAAATATTTATCAATTTATACCAACTTGTGTAAAATTATGAATGTAGCGGTAGAATTTAGAGTACCATCAAAATATTTTAATAAAACACGTTCACACCATGGAAAAATTGAAAAAAAAAACTTTTTTTAAGTTTTTCATGTAGAATTTTATTTTTAGGAAACTTGAACTCAATAATATGAAAACAAAAATTGATTTAAATTTGCTGCCATACCAACCCATAAACAATAAATAGCCAAAATCAGAATCACCTTTGTGGGGTTCACGGCTTCCTTGATTAATGAAGGAAGTTTCCCTTCACCCGGCTGGTCGCATTAAAAAAAAAGTGGTTCTGACCACAGAACAACAGAGATAAATGGTTCTGACCACAGAAGTTCTGACAGCGTACTCTAATGTATCGCCATCTGTTAATTTCTTCCGAAAACTTTTCTTGTTACCATAGTTACCAAAATCACGCGCCAAACGTCGTAAATATTTGAAATTTAAGTTAGAAATTGGATTTCTCTGTGGATATTTGTTAAGAAAAGTTGAGGAGACTGTAAAATGTACTGCTTGTCTAGTACCCTTAACCAATTATTTTGAGTCAAAAACAAGTCCCCTCTTGGAATTAATTTATAATCAAGACAGAGGAAAGCTCAAATATTCATCTGAAAAGTTTATTGCGTTAATTCATTGTCATAGGAGTGATTTTGGAAATAATACCCAGTGTGCCTACGCAAGATGTAGACTACATTTTGAAAACAATAATTGTTTCATATTTAAATGAAAATRCCATATTCTCCTGCGAGGAACATCGCAGTGTCTGCGGCATTATCGTTGGCAAATTTTTGCAATCTCTACACACAAAGTACTAGGAAAAAAAGTTATATTTATTCAAAAAAACTAAAAATTTTGACAGTAAATTACATTTTCAAATTTGTACAAAATGCGTTTACTTCTTTATCTTATAACCCCCCTACGGGCCTAAAAGACCTTGAACGTATTGGTTGTGCACTGTATTCTAACAAGCTGTTGCACTCTTGCAGGTTTAGTCACTTATAATTGTCAGGGATTTAATACGGCACAATACACATTACTCTAGTACAATCTTCAATTATTAGAATTAATGGTTAATATTCAAATAAAAGAAAATGAAACCACCTTTACCAAATAGCCACATATCAGGAAATTATTTACTTTTCGAAAAAATCATTAGTGTGAGATTGTGACGTGCGTATTTAATTCCTAATGGCATTATACACAAGCGAAATGTGGCCAAATTACGTTTTTATAAATGTACTAACGCCTTTTTGCTATCCACTGACAGGAGTGTGACAGCACATAACCTTATTAACTGTCAAAATCTTGTACCTTAATGTGGCTCCCTCTCGAAACCAAAAAAAAGTCACGGAACTAATGAATGCGACTAGCCGCGTGAAGGGAAACTTCCTTCATTAATCAAGGAAGCCGTGGTGGGGTTTTGTTAAAAGAAAATTTAAAAGTGGTGAATTTTTGAATTATTTGCAGTAAATAATTTATTAAAACAACAAAAAACTTTAGTTTTACAATAACTTTTTTTAAGTACAATTGTTTGTATATTTTTAAAATTTAAATTTTTGACATTTGACAGTATGGTGGGGATAGCGTCATAACAATGCAAGTTTGCTGACCGTTTGTTTTCAATGTGTTTTTAATTTTATGATTTTATACCAAATGCAATTTGAGAAATCCAAAAATGCATCGACAAGATATGGAACAAATTCTCAACAAAGTGCAGTACTCGACGTCATGCCATCAAAAATGTGTAATACTTTTAACGGCATTGTATAAAGCGGTGAGTTTAAATTYTGTTTCAAAATTTGAATTTTTGAGTAATGAGTGCCAAATGGAGAAGAATTCTGTTTAGGGTCTTGTATAAAAGCTTTCTGTGTTTGAACTTTGTTCAAATTAAAAACTTAAGTTTCAATTCTCGTAACGCACTGACTAGTTTATAAAGTTATGGATGTTAAATCACATATTGAAACAAAACACTGCCTTGTGTTAGGGGTAGGTGGTTGAAATTGTAAACMTGAGTTTATGAGACGTCGTAAAGGTCGTCGTAAAAATTTCGAGAAAATCTAAAAGCGCCTTCATAGCATTATCAATTTTTATATTTTAGACACTTCAAAGTGGGTTCATTCCACTGTTCTTGGAACTCCTGCAACTTACGATCCAGAGACCATCAGAAAACAATATTTACACAACAAGAGTGTTACGTTTTTTGTCTCACTTCTGCGCTGACGTTACCAAAACTGAGTCAAAAGAGACCGAGACTCATTCTTTTCTCACCATMATCATGAACAAAGTGTTCCAGTTGAGTCATTTAGAAGAATACAATATTAGATACAATTCTTGTTATTTTATTTCAAGAGTTCTCCAGGATATTGGTGGAGAAGTACAACTAGATGTAGAACTCATTGATGGAATACAGTCTACGTTACTTGAACGGATGCAGGTATTATTTCGTTTTTGGCTTATTTTTTTGTAATTTTWGTTTTTAGGAAACTAAAGTATCCATTCGTTTAGTAACGATGTCAGCCCTCGTCAGGTTGCAAGACCCTGGAAACCCGGAATGTCCTGTTATGAAAGCTTATACAGAGGCTTTATGTAGCAGTAGTGCAAGCGTGAGAAAAGATGCACTTGCACACATAGCACCAAATAGGGAGACTATAGACAAAATAAAAGAAAGAGTTAAAGATGTTGATCCATCTGTTCGTGAAGCTGCCTTTCATCGATGTGGCGACATTAGTCCACAATTTTTGAGAATTGTGGATAAACATATGATTTTAATGTGCGGATTCAAAGAAGCCCATCAGAAAGTGAAAACCGTCTTCTATGACCATCTGTTGCCAAAATGGTTAACAGATTACAATAATAATTATTTGAGGTTTATAGCTGCTTTGAAACTTAGCACCGTTGAAGAAGATATGGATCAACTGGTGTTTTTAAGCAAAAAATTAATAAAGGAATTTTACAAGTAATGCGAAACCAATGTTGTTTATTTGCAATGACTGTTGTGTTTTAGCAAACATTCAATTTATGATCTGTTAGCACATTTGCCAATCAATGGGGACAAGCTGATCAACACTGAAGACCTATCAAATGAAGTAACTTTGTTCTGGAATATTTTAGTTGAGCTCTTACGTGACTCTGAGGATGTGGATGAACACCTGAATAGTATTTTACCAGACTTGACTCCGTTTTGTAACTACATTGGAAGGTATGAATGAATGAAAATGTTATTTTTTTAAACTTGGTACATTGTGTCTGTTACCACATTATTTGCAGGATAATTTCCATTAAATCTACTGAACAAATGGACGAGTGGAAGAGTCTTGAGTACCAATTTGATCTTTTAAATTTATTCGGGATCGCAGAAAATTACGATTACTCCGATGAGGTAACCAATATATGATGTACTTTTTTTATTATTTATTCATTATTAGGTTGGTAAACGTACGATGCACGCTCTTACAAACAATCTGTTACAAAGTCACAGATTTACTCCGAAATTGACCGAAAAATTAGTGTCGCTAGCTCACAAATGCAGCAGTACAGTTGAATTTTTCATAAATGATATGTGCCAAATCATTTCCGAAATAAGAGAACCGTTGATAGAACAACCTTCCTCGCAGGACCAACAGAGGGAAAATGCGTTTAAGGTGAGTGAGTGTGTTATAGGATTTGATCAGAGGTCGGGAGTTTTGTCCTGAAATACGGTTGAGCTTAGACTAAATTTATTTACAAAATATGTACAGGATGTTGCATGTGTATGCAACCAAGATTATACTATATGACATCTCATTTTAATTAACTATTTTTTTATTTATTTATTTATTTATTTTGAACTATTAGTGACTTAACTTAACAATTTGAAATCTCTTAACTTATCTGGTAGTTTAACATTTCTGCTATTTCTGGTATTATAACAGTTTTGGTTTAATTTTACATTAATTTCACTTGGGCTAGTTTCATCACTTTTTTCCCTGTCAATCCTTTCTGATGCACTAGTTTGAGCACTGTCTTCAACGATTACGCTACTTTCAGTTTTTTCGGTTTCACACGATTGTGAATTATTTTCATCGTCACTCTCATACACATAGTTAGATCTATAGCTAGTTTCGGGTTCAGGGAGATTCATATCATAGCTTGCTGGTTTAATAAAAAATTAATTTCTGATGATGCATCTCCCATCTCTCTTTTTTATTCTAAAAGTCCTGTCACCTATCTTATTTACAATGGTACCTAATTGCCAGTTACTTTTAGGTTTGGCTTGAAATAATATTCTCATACCTGTTATTAATTCTTTTTGATTCCTTATTTTAGTGTTATAGTACTTTTTCATTGTATCTCTGTTCTTGTCTAGAATGGTAAATAGATGTATTAATGATTTTTGGTCTTAAATTGTTTTCCAACATTGGTAAATTTTCTGCTCATTAGTATTTGAGCCGGTGTAAATGAATGTAGAATTGGGGTGTTGCGAAAGGCTAGAAGAGCCAAATTAAGGTTTTTTTGCTTTCAATTGGTTTTATAATTATTTTTTTTTGTTTGAATGGTTCTTTCCGCTTGTCCATTTGACTGTTGATGATATGGAGGGGAGTTAATTAATTCAAAATTCCAGGATTTAGCAAAATCTATTTATTGTTGGCTTTTCAATTGTGTTCCACTATCAGACATAACAATTTTTGGGATTCCATGTGTAGCAAATATTTTTTTTAATTTGTTTATAACGTTTTGTGAGGTGGTGTTTGATTTTAGATTGACTAATTCCGGGTATTTCGAATAGTAATCTACAACTAGTAAATAATTTTCATTATTAATGTAAAATATGTCCAGTCCGACTTTTTGTCATGGTTTTTTGATTATCTCGTATGGTATGAGAGGTTCTTTTATGTTTGAATTGGAGTATTTATTACAAATGTAACATTTTTTAACTAGATTTTCAATGTCTTTAGAGAGACCTGAATTTCTGGCTCTCTCTTGACATTTTTGAATACCTAAATGTCCGGTGTGTATGTTTTCTAGAATTTGAGGTCTCATTCATTTTGGAATTATTAGTCTCTGGCCCCAATATAAAAGTACATTATTTCCTAAGGTGATTTCTGATTTTAATTTGTAATATTGTTTTATTTCAGGGTTATAATTTTTTATGTTGTTTGGCCAATTATTTTCCATGAAATTTTTTAATACATTTAGGTCTGGGTCAGATTTCCTTTTTGTTATCAATTCTTTTAATTTTTCGTCTGTAACTGAAATATTTTTCTCAATTAAGCAAACGTGAGATTCTAGATCTAAATTGGCATCATACATTTTTTTAGAAATGCCCTTGATAAGTTGTCTGCGATTATTAATTCTTCATATTTTTATAAAGTTAGCAACATTTTTTATAAATGTGCTGGACATGCATTTAACYGTTTATTGAAAATTGCAATAAGTGGTTTGTTCAGTAGGATTTGATCAGAGGTCGGGTGCTTTGTCCTGAAGCACGGTTGAGCTTAGACTAAATTTATTTACAAAATATGTACAGGATGTTGCATGTGTATGCAACCAAGATTACACTGAGTCACTATATGACAGAGTGCTATCGGTTACTTAATACTTATAATAATAATATTTTCTTTACAAGGCGTCCAAATTGCGGGTGCGAATCAATGTGTTCCAAGAAGAACACAACGAGGCCATCGAGGAACGTGACTATGAAAGAGTCTTGATTCTCGAAAATGAGTTGGTCAAGTGCAAGCAACAATTAGAGGAGTTACAGAATGAAGTTAATGTGGAAAAAGTCCGAGTCATAAAGTCGGATGACGAGACGTTGTGTTGTTGTTTGGATATTGTGACAAACGTTCTTGCATTGCCGGCTGTGACAAAATTGACACCGTCATTGGTCGCGTGTAGGGATAATTTTTTGATACCATTGATCAAGAACACGAACCCAAACATACATTGGAGAATTATAAAGTGTTTGGGTTTGTTTTCGTTGGTCGATAAGGAGACGGCTAATGTGTACGCAAAGATTGTTTCTATTCCGGTAAGTGTTTCGTTTTTTTGTACCAATCAAAATTAATTTTTTATTTCAGATTGCTACTTATCGATCCGTTGAAATACATCATGTTGCGGCATTGATCCAATCCATGATGGCAACACAAGATTTAGTGATCAAATACGGTATTGAAATTATAAGTGGTGAAGAGTTGTCAGCTTCTGATTCGACTTCTGATCAAGATTTACAAAAACGAAAACTTTATTCAGCCGACAACTACACGAAAGAATCTTACAAAATTGACAAAATAACAATTCCGTACCTTTTTGATATATTTTTAGACATGTTGGATGACGAGGTTTGTGATTTTTTTATTAGAATTTTAAATGACAAAGATTTTGTAGAGTGATGATGTTCGTTATCAAGCCGTTCATTTATTGGGGATTTTGGTTAAAATATTTCCAATAACTCCAAATGTACTTTCTAGGATTTTGCTCAAATGGTACAATCCTTTAACCGGTATTAATTTTTTATTTAAGTTTTTGTGAAATCTAATTTTTAATTTACAGAGAAATTTGATAGTCATCTGCAAGTTGCTTTAGGGTTGGTGATAAACCAAGTCTTTCAGTGCAGAGAGTTTGGTGAAATCATAAAAGAGTCAATTTTACCAACACTAACAACTTTAATTCGGGCCCCAAGAACCAGCCCTTTGGTCGATGTCGATACTGATAACGTTTTGAAGTTTTTCTCTGAAATGGTGAATATCACCGTGTCAAATAACAGTTGTAAAATGCTAGCTTTGGATATTTGTATAAAAATAGCGGAAAATCCAAAAGATCGTATCGTCCCCCTTCTTGTAAAGTTGTTGTGTCTCTTAGAACTGAATCAAGAGGAGGATCTGACTGAAATTATAGAACGGAGTGAAACTCTTTTAGAGGTAGTTTTAATTGTGTCAATTTTGCATCTAATTAGTTATTTACAGACTTTCAAAGATAAATCATTAAAAAGGCACATTGAAAAATTTATTGAGAAAAATCGAAATAAAGAGAATCGAGACGTGAATAACTTAGAAAGTACAAATGGGTCTGAAATGCAAGAAACGAACATTTTAAGTAAGTAGAAATATTTGCTAGGATATGTAATTAATATTATTTTTTATGTCCAATGTTCCTAAGCTTTTCTAGAAACTTTACTTGGTTACAAAATAAATCTTTAACATTTTTTTATGGAACTAATACACCTCGTAGCTATAATATAGTTTGATTTTAAGGGGAAATTCCGGTGGACAATGAACACAATTGTTCAACAGTATCACAAACTAAAAGACGAAAAAGTCGTATTAGTAAGGAGTGTGTGGTACTTTTAGAAAAGTTAAATGAACCAAAACCTGCCGACGAAACGACTCTTTACACAATTTATGAAGCGAGTATGGAGGTGGATTTTTTATTATGTGATTATTGGTACCTACATTGCTTTCTTTGTAGATGGAGGTGGACGATTCTTTAATTATTGAAACTCCCACAACAACTTCAAAAAATTCGAGTGGCCGAAGTATTAATGTTGTAATTTCTGAAACCTCTGAATCGGAGTAAGTTCATTGGGTTTTTTTTTTCATTGTTAATTTTTCTTTTAGTGATTATGGAGTGAACACGAGGCGGTCAAAGAGATGCAGAAAAAAGAGAAAAGGATGTAAATAATTTTGTAATTATATTTTATTTGTATAACGATAATATATTGTTTTTTGTAGACAAATTATTAAATTTTTTATCCACAACCAGTCTATTATTAGATCATAATACCACTACTAGGAGACGTCATATGATATCAATAAAACACACGGGTATTATAAAAAAAAAATTATTTATTTAGTTCTGTACTTTTAAGCTGTAAGGAACATCAGAATACTGTATAGTCTCAACTTTTCGTTTCATTTTACTTCGTATTAATTTATATTTATGATCTTGCCACTTTTTTTCTATTCTCAGATTTTCTACAATTGCTTCAGTTTTCGGTATCTTGAAAATAAGGTATTGTTTTATTTTATTCCAAATATTGGCTTCGTTTCGTTCTAATAACCAATAAAATGGAATTAAGAGACATTCGGTTTGTGTGATTGACACAATTTGTCGATTGATTAAATCTTCACCGATGTTAAAGCAAGATAAACGATTTAACGTACAAACCTAAAAAATAAATTCAGTGAACTTTTTCACAATAATCCAGTGTTGTACGTTAAGAAAACAAGCTTTTTTCGGTAAATTAAGAATCTCGATGACTCTACAAGACCCTTCCGTTATGAAAAAAACATAACTTTTTTGATCCCGTGGTCCACCAAGAATCACACAGTCGGGCGGGAAATGTTTCAACTGAGAAATATCACAAAGTTGAGTGATTGTCTCTTGGCTCCATTGTTCAAAATATGAAAAGTACGCGATTCTTTTTCGAATGCTTTCACTCTGAGAGCTATTCATGTTTCAACTGATTTTCAGGCGAACTAAACTTTTAAAATCTCATAGAAATAAAAGAAAAATATGTTTGGTCGATATTAAGTAATAAAATCACGAATTTTCCAAGCTCGTTAGACCGATTGACATCTGAACATAATGGAAATAGAATCGATTTAGGGCTGAAAATTGTTTTGTGGAAATTGGATGGTGGCATGAACGTTTATTAATTTATGAGCGGTGGTTTCGACATAAATCTGTTCACGTAAAAGTTTTATAATCAGCGTTCTATAACTGAGTGCAAACATTCAATTTTTATTCACAAATATAAAGTAACTAGCTTGCACCCGTGACTTCGTCCACGTAGATTTTCAATATAAATTTTTCTTGTTTCTTAAAGAAGAAATGTGAAGTTATTCTGTTTATCTATTTTTTCTTGATTCATCAACTCAAAACAACGTGGGAGCATCAGAAAGCCGATTTTTAAAAGAATGACGAAAGTACGTTATAAACGCTTCACCTCGTCGAATTTTCAAAAAGTGTCTTCTTAGTGCATTTCTACACCCTCAAATCTCAAAATTTTATATTTTTATTTAAATGTTTGCACCTAATTTCATCCCGTTATAGGTTGGTTTTTAATGAGTGCCTGATTAGTCACTTCTCTACTCTCTAAGAAAAATATTTTCCAAATTTCATGTTTCTATATCTTCGTTTAAACATGTACACCTCATTTTACCTTAAAAATTGATTTTTAAAAATCTCGTCTTAGTGCACCTTTACAACCGCCAAAGAACATATCTTCTAAATTTTATGTTTCTATCTTTGTTTAAGTGTTGACAACATATTTCACCCTCTTGTAAATAAAATTTCAAAAAATCCTTTCTTAGCGGACCTCTACACCCTCTAAAGAATATGTTTGCCCAATATTATGTTTATATTTTCGTTAAAATGTTTAGTCCCCATTTAACCCTGCTTAGAAATTGATTTTCAAAAAATCCTCTCTTAGCGGTCCTCTACACCCTCTAAGGAATATGTTTCCCAAAGTTTATATTTTTATCTTTGTTTAAATGTTTACACCCCATTTCATCCCTTTATAGATTGATTATAGAAAAAACCTCTACACACTCTAAAGAACATATTGTCCAAATTTCATGTTTTTCACTCCCTTTTCTAAGGGGGTAATAAGTTTTTATTTATTATTTAAAAAAAATCTTGTCCTAGTACACTTTTACAACTGATAAGGATCATATTTTCTAAATTTTTTCTTTCTATCTTTGTTTAAATATTTACATATTTCATCCCCGTAAAGATTCATTTTCGAAAAAATTTTTTTAGCGAACCCTCTAAAAAACATATCTTCTAAATTTAATGTTTAAACTTATACAACCCGTTTCACCCTCTTTTCTAAGAGAGTAAATAAGTTTTTACTAATTATTTTTGAAAAATCTCGTCTTAGTGCACCTTCACAACCGCTAGGAACATATCTTCCAAATTTTTTGTTTCTATCTTTGTTTAAAGGTTTACACCCCATTTCACCCCCTTAAAAGTTAATTTTTTAAAAATCCTTTCTTAGCGGACCTCTACACCTACTAAGGAACATACCTGACAAATTTCTTGTTTCTAGCTTCAGTGGTTTAAGCTGTGCGTTGTCTGTCAGTCAGTCACGGAACTCTTTTATGTATACAGGGTGCGCCAGAACTCGCGCCCCAGAGAAAATTTTCAAAATTTTGACATTTATTTTTTGACATTTGACAATTTTTTATGTTTATTTAATGATACTGATGATCTTGTATAAGTATGTTTTTTTTACAATTATTTAGTAAAGCGACAAAAATTTCACCAATAAAAGCCCCAAATAACATTGAATAGTTGAAGACAAAATACTTTGGTCGTCAATGTCACTTGAGTGACATTAAATTGTAAAGCATGCTTTAGGACTGTTAACCTTATTTTTAGCTACTGTCAATCATAGTTGACAAGTTGTACATATTTTTGATAGAAAGATATAATAGCTGTCATTAATTTGAAATTGTCATTAAAAAAAAATCATTAAAGCTTGAATTACATTAAAGTGTCAGAAATGTGACGACCAAAGTATTTTGTCTCCAACTGAACATCAGAGTTACAATTTAGGATACAGCTTCTTTGTTTCCTCTTCTAGGAGCTTGTACCAAAAAAACTTAGAAAATTATTTTTCCAACAGAAATAAATAGAGTCAAAGTGCAAACTTTAAACCCTCATAACTTCGAAATTTTTATAGATAAAATTTTTTCCATGCTCCTGGTATTTTACCTTATATGGCATTTTTCTCTAGGGCGCGAGTTCTGGCGCACCCTGAATAGATAATTAAATTACCTTGCATATGAAAAGTTGGAAAGTATTTATGACATTTTCAACTACATTTAACAACAAATGATATGAAATACACTACTCCAAAAAATTAAAGGAACAAACTAATTTCCTAAATTTTTTGGTGATTTTTCTTAATGAAAAATGGTCATATCAATTTTTCAAAAAAATAATTGAAGCTTTAAGTTTTTTATTAAACTCTGTATAATTTAATTTTTAATGTTTTGTACAAATTTTTGTAACTTTATTTAAAAATATAATACAAAATGCGATACAAATAAGTTTAAATACTCTTTGGCACATAGAAAATGAAGGATTCAAAGGTACTTGAATACAATAAATCAGAATAATTTACAATTGCACACTTTCCCAGTCTCTACTGTTACTGTTAACATACGTTGCATCTTTATTCGATTTCGTGCTAAATGGGTTATTGTCTTTTAGTACACTTTTATTTTGCGGCATATTCACGTAATTGTCAGAAAACTTGACGATGTCCTTCTCAAATTTAACCTGTCCTTTCTCATCAACGACAGGAGGTAGGTGATAGGAAGGATTTGAAAAACTGTTGGGTGCTACTGGACTATTGCAAGAGCTTTCGCAGTCCGACTCGTTATGAATCCCCAACATTGGCGCGAGTTCGTTTCTGGTTGCTTCGACTTTTCTCGTTTTGTTGACGTCGAAATCAAAAACTCTTGGGTCGTCCACTCTCGGACTGAAGATATTTGCAGGCTTCATGCAGAGGTAGCCTGGAGTGCCTTCGTCGTGAGGCAAATCGTTGACGTACTGTGGAGTGGAGAGATTTTCGAAGTTGGGAGGACTCAACATTGCGAGGTAGTCGCTGTGGCCGTCCTCGAGGCGTTGAGTGTTCATCACGAGGTACGGGTCGTTCAAGTCGATGTAATGCTTTCTGACGGTGTCCTCGAGGAGTGATCCGATTCGTTCGGAGAGTTTGCTGAAGGATGGCCTTAAGAGGGGTTTGGCGTGCCAACAGTCCGACATCATTTTGTAGCTAGAAAACAAGAAAAAACAACATTCTGTTAGTGTTAGCCCAGTCAAATTAGACAAATCGGTGAAAATTAAAGCTTACAAAATGTCCTACAAAAATGGTCCTTTGCATTTTTGTTGTAGGACTAACCGTAAGCGAGTTATAGGGCTGACAAAAAACATCATTTAAAAAAATGTGCTTTATCTGCATTAAAACAGAATTAGTCTTGTAATTTAAAAAAAACTGACAGTAAATTGAATTTACTGTGTCCAATACTTCATTAAAGAAAGGGGGAGTCACGAGGGAATATAAATACAAACTCATCGTTTATGTAATTTATGCAGAATTTTCTGTAGAAGTCTATTTCTGTATAAAAATTTCCTACAAAAATGGTCCTATTCATTTTTGTCGTAGGACTAACCGTAGGCTTCTAAAGTTTGGAGTCTACATAAAATTGCATTAAAAATCCTTTGAAACACATTTCAATAGTTTATGGTAAGTATTTATATGTGTAGAGCGTTCCCCAACTAAGCTGGTCTGCCTGAAAGGTGACTCGGGTGTAAACATTTAAACGGAGATATAAATAAAAATTTTGGATGAAAGAGAGAATCAATCTGTAAGGGGGTTAAATGGGGTGTAAATGTTTAAACAAAAGATATAAACATAAAATTCTTTAGAGGTGTAAAGGGGCACTAAAATCAGATTTTTCGAAAATTAGTTTTTAAGGGAATAAAACGGTGTACACATTTAAAGGGATATAAAAACATTAGATTTAGAAAGTGAAACATTAAATTTAGAGATTGTAGACATGCACTTTTCAAATTTTAATGAAATAAAATAGAGTTTAAATGCTTAAAATCAAAATTAGAAACATGAAATTTCGAATTTTAAGAGTGCAGAAGAGCACTGAGACGACACTTTATGAAAATCAACATTTAATATTTATCCATAAACATAGCCCATGCAAAGAACGTGACTATTATAACTGAATCCTATACATAACATTGGTAATTATCTAGCTTTATAGAGTACCTAAGCCTATGGAATGGTTTTATAAACGGGCCTTTTCCCATTTTATATCAGAAATACACGCGGACAAAGTCGCAGGGAAATACTAGTTCAGCATATAAGGATGACTCGGAAGACTTGATAGACCCTCGTGGCACCTTCTAATAAACTGTTGGATCCAATACATTCAATTTACTGTAAGCTTTATTCAAATCATCGATACTAAATCATTTATTTATTAATATTGTACTGAACAAGACTGTAATTCGGTTTTCAATGTTTAAGTTGAAGACGAAGATGCAGCATATGAGGCCGACTCGGAATACTTTATACACTCTCTAATGAAGTGTTGCACCCAATAAATTCAATTTGATTTAAGTTTTTTCAAATCACAAGATTAATTCTGTTTTAAATGCGTTTTTTTAAATGATGTTTTTTGTCAGTCCTATAACTCGCTTACAGTTAGTCCTAAACAAAAATGCAAAGGACCATTTTTGTAGGAAATTTTGTAGGCTTTCATTTTGATAAGCAGGCAAAAACCGTTAGGAGTAATAGTTTCCGAGATATAAGCAAAAAAACAAAAAATGACACCTTTAGACCCCTCCCCCTCCTCGAGCTCGCCCCCACCTTCGGGGACTTTTGATATACAGGATGATTCTTAAATAGACCGACAAAATTTTATCCTTGGTAGAATCAAATGTTGGAAAAAATATGAAAAAAATTCTTTGTTTAATCGTTCTCCAAATAAAATTTATTAAAGTTATTTTTGAGGTAAAGCGTACGCCACTGATGTGTTTGTAAATAGTATTAGCACAGGTAGTGGAAACCATGGTATTAACATAATGAAAATGTACTTGATCATTGCAACAATTCATAAACGCCGTAAGTGGCACYGATCAAGGGGGTTTCGCCCCTAAAAGATATAAACGTAAAAAGGGTACAGTTAATCTTCGCTTATCCTTGGGAAGCTCTGATAAAATTATGTTGGTCTATTTAAGAATCACCCTGTATGTTTACCCAAGAATAAAGAAAGCGTTTAAAAAAAATTCCAACTCTCCAGGATTTTTTTCCACCGCTCGCCCTATTTTTGTCTAATTTGACTGGGCTATGTGATTTTTTTGAAACTTACATTTCTTTCGGTGCGTATTCGGGGGATTCCATTCTGTATCCATCCAGGAGTTTGTTGTAAAGTCTTTCGTCGGCCTCCATTCCGGGATACGGAGTCTTAGCTAACGAGAAAAACTCCCACAGGACTATCCCAAAGGACCAAACATCAGATTGAGTCGAAAAAATTTTGTCACGGATTGACTCAACAGCCATCCATTTGACCGGCAGGGGGCCCTATACGATATTTCGCTTATTATAAATCCATCACATTAGAAAAATACTCACGTCTCCTTTTTTCTTGTAGTTGTCACTTTTGTACATACTTTTAGCCAACCCGAAATCACAAATTTTTACGACGTTATTATCAGCCAAAAGAATATTTCTTGCCGCCAAGTCACCATGGAGCACTCTACGAGACGCCAAATATTCCATTCCTCTAGAAACTTGAAAAGCCCACGCTAGAAGCTCTTTAGTGCAGATTGGTTTGATGTTGTCTTTGTAGTCTCCGTGGTAATTCGAACGCCATTCTGGTTGGACACTGCTGTTGTTGCTCAAAATTACCTCCTCTTCATCTGGATAAAAATTTAATGGAAATTTTTGTAAGGTATTTATTTAGTACTAACCCGAATTCGGAGACATGGAAACAGTGGTGATGTCTGTTTTGGCTGTGGTGGTACCACCATTGTAGTTGTCTCCTCGGTAATCAACCATGTGGGGGCTGTTTCCATTACTGTTTGAAAACGATAAGGCGGCGTATTTCATGTATGGTGATTGGGTATTACTGAAATTATTTATTGCAAAWTAAAAAATTGCGATTCTTGATGAATTATCGAAATCTCTTAAAATACAGCGTGTTCTCTTTTTATTGTTACAAATTTAAACAGGTGATAGAATATACTATCGCTTTGGGGCAAAATTCATAGAAATTCAAATAAGAATAGTTATTTATGTATTAAGGGAGTAAAACAACTACATATTTTGATCCCGAGAATGTAGGTTTTATTCGAGGAATTAACGATGTTTATTCCAGAGATGCATACAAATCTTTTCAACCAATAGGCTAAATGAATATCAAAATAAGAAAATGATAAATTTGTCAAATAATTTGTCAAAATATTCAGTTCATTCAAATGCAATTAATAAGTAACAGTAATTAAAAGAGTAAAAATCATCAGTATCAAAGAATATGTCAAAAAATACTCAAAAGCTTCAATTCTAGTTTATTTTAAACTCAAAAACGAGGGATTAAAGCGTCACTTTTTTCCCTGTTGGAAGGAAATAATTATTTAAAGACTGATTTCGGTATTTCTTGCTTTAATTAAATGAAARCTTTTTAAACAATTAAAGTTTTCAATGAAATGTGATACAAATCGAACAAAACCAGACGATACTACACAATAATTGCTAGATTTTGCATTTTTTTAAAAGGGGTTTTTATTAATTTTTTTGCAAATATAATAAAATAATAATGGGAAATAACATTTGGAAAGAAAATTGTAGATTTAGTGATTTTCAACTTACAAAACGAGACAGTTGGAACATGATAGCGATTTCTCGCATTGAGATTCGACAAACTACACTTTAAGCTTGATTTAACGAATACTTACAATAAAAAAATATAATTTTGATTTCCAATAGTCTCTAGAAATCAAACAAAGTGGAATAACATTTGTTTTTTTATGTTAATTATAAAACTGAATAATCAGTACTTTTGTATAAAATTCACCCGTTTTTTTGTAACAGATTGGAAAAATGTCTTCAAATAATAATCGAAATTTACGTGTAAAAATTGCAAAATAAAATGAAACAAGCGGTAATAGAAGTAGGTACAATGTGATTTAGCAATTTTTTGCATTACTGAACAAAATTTAAAAAAGCAAAACAACACGTATTTTGATTTAGCGATTTTTAGTATAAAATGGATTTGAATCATGCAAAATAATATTTAATAATAATTTAATAATAATATTTAAATAGTATATTTAATACCGTTTTTTTTAATTGGAAAAAAAATTAAAATTCACAGATTTATCTCGAATCTTTGGACTGGCATTCCATTATTTTTTTATTGTACAAGATGCTTGGAAAAAACAAAACGTTGGAAGATTTTGGAGAGTGTTTCCTTAGGTCAAAATAAGAAAAAAATTTTTCTGAGGGAGCTAGAGCTCCCTGAAGATGGCGGGAAAATAGTATATTTTAATTATCTCAGTAATTGGGAGACAAATTTACAAAAGTTTGCACCTGGAGTAATTTTTTGGCGGTGATTCTGTTYGTGATCAAAAACTGTGTACCCTAATTAGGAAAGGGAGACATTGGAGTTAATCTGTTTAAGTAATAAAAGTTTACTTGACAAATTAAAAAAATATATTTTTTTGTGTAATTTCGGATTTATTGGTTAAATTTCTTCAAAAAATGTCTCTTGTGTAATTTTTAGTATGACGAACTGTTTTCGAGAAAAACGAGATTTTCTTAAACAGTGCACCGACTTTAATTTTGAAAAACAAACCTCGCAGTGAGTTTTCAATTAAAGTTAAATTATCGCTTTAGTTTGTTTTTTCTATTTTGACCCAGGAAACCACCCACTGAAATCTTTCCACGTTTTTCCGGAAATCATGTATAAAAACTACACATTTTAGTTRTTTTACATAAATGGTTCCTTACCTTCGGTTACTTGACGCAGAGTAAGTCCTTTCCAATATTTCCTGACCAATGGTGTAATCAATGTGTCCTGTTTTTGGATCGACTTGGTCAATGAAATTTTCTCGATGACGTAATAAATAATTTTGAAGGTTTCCATATCGACAAAATTCTACAATTACAAGAAGTTCTCCTAAAAACATCGATTTAAATAACAAGCAATAAATTAATGAAATTGTTACTTTTAGCGACGTTTTTGGTACATGCTCCCAGCAAATTGACAACGTTTAAGTGTTTTCCTAAATGTACCATTATTTTAAGTTCCGATGCCAAAGCTTTGATGTACGTGTAATCAGCATTTTTCTTGACCATTTTTACCGCAACTACAGTGCTTTCTTCACCTTCAATTATTCCTTTGGCTACACCTTTCATAACAACACCAAATGCTCCCGAACCGAGTTGTTTACCTTAATAGCACACGAAATTTGTACTTTATTTAACAATTTATCAACCAAACAAACCTAATTTAAGCTTCTGGATTGGAAACTCCCATTGTTTGTCATAAGGTAACAATTCAACTTGATCATCAATCCCAAGATCCGGATTTAAGTTTTCTATAGCTCCTTTTTGGAAGTTCGACAAGCCGATAAATTCGAGCTCTTTTTGCAACTTTCGCTCGTTTCGTACTTTTATTACAACGAAAATACAGATTCCAACTAAAGTAACCACTAAAACGATTATTATCCATAAAAGTTTGTGATCCAAAGCTCCCGAATCCAGATTGTCTAAAAGATATTTGTCACATTTGATTCCTTTACAATTAAATTTGAAATACCTACTTTTAAAGTCAAGATGGACTTTCTTTGAGACTGTTCCAGCTCTATTTGACACAACACATTTGTAAGTACCTTTGTCCTTATAATCCAGAGCAGAATAATAGAGTTTTTGGTTGCCATTTTGGAAATGTGTCCGATTTGATGGTTGAATTACTTGGTCATTCTATAAACATCCAATAAAAACATTTTATATTTTTTTTATCAAAGTGATCGAAATTTCTGAATTTAAACAATAGTCCAGTCAAAATAGACATCTCAAATAACTAAAATTCCGACAGAGCTAAATTTTGGTGGAGATCTTGGGTAGGAATAAAGTGTCAAATGTCCCCATCGATCCCATGTGTGCTAAAAAAGTTATTCGGGATCAAAGGTCAAAATTTGAGGTTTTATGGATTTCCTTCGAAAATGGTAAGTTTTATCAAAAATGTAGCCCAGACAAAAATTATAGATCTTAAAATTATCTACAGAAATGGTCCTTATATCTCAGGAATCACCATTCCTGAGATATCGCAATTCTAAAAGTTGAAGGAGTCAGGTTCTACATGATATGCACATACAGAGTGCGCCAGAACTCGCGCCCCAAAGACAAATGCCATGTAGGGTAAGGTACCAGGTACATTGAAAAAATTACAAAAAAAATCTATCTATAAAAAGTTATGAGAGTTTAAATTTTGCACTTTGACTCTATTTATTTCTGTAAGAAAAATAATTTTCCAAGTTTTTTTGCTACAGGCTATTAGAAGCGGAAACAAGAACGCTGTATCCTAAACTGTAACTCTGTTTAGTGTTGGCTTTTATTGACAAAATGTTTATACCTTTACTAAATATTTATAAAAAAAAGATATACAAGGTCATCAATATTATTAAATAGACATAAAAAAATGTCAAATGTCAAAAAATAAAATAAAATAAAACTCTCATAATTTTGAAATCTTTATAGATAGATTTTTTTTAAATTTTTTCTATGTTCCTGGTACCTTACCCTACCCATTTATCTTTGGGGGGCGAGTTCTGGCGCACTCTGTATGTTCATATGATGTAGAACGTTACTCCTTCAACTTTTAGAATCGCGATATCTCAGGAATGGTGATTCTTAGAAAAAAAGTATAAAGACCATTTTTGTAGATAATAATTTTAAGATCTATAATTTATGTCTGGGCTATTTTTTTGATAAAACTTACCGTTTAAATCTAAAAAACTTCAAATTTTGACCTTTGAATAACTTTTTTAGCACACATGGGGACTTTTGACACTTTATTTCTAATGGTGTACCCAAGTTCTCCATCAAAATTTAGCTCTGTCGGAATTTTCATTATTTCACCACTATTTTTATGACTAATTMGACCSGACCACTATAACASAGCCATGTCTCTAAATTATTCAATGTTGCCAACTTAGTTTKAGACTCACAAACCACTTTAAGCGAAAATTTAAAGACCGGTAATACATTACATAAATTACAATTTGCACAAATAYTTATTTTATTGTTTTACTTGCCTTAGTCCACGTYATYGTTGGTTTAGGRACTCCTTTGACTATGCAATAAAAYGCCACTCTGTTCGGTAATAACAACTCCATGTCCTTCTTCATATTATCTTGCACGATAATAGGCTTAGTTGGTTCTTATAACAAACACAATTATTAATTACAACTTGAAATTAATCAAAATCGCTCACCTGAAATTCMCAGCGTAATATTTTTGGATACAAATTTACCACTGATTGTTTTAACAACACAACTGTACATGTTAGCATCATCAAAATCCACTTCAAGTAAATTCAAAGTCAAACGATTGCTGTATTCGGTGTGACTAGAATCGATTCGGTGTTCTAAAAAATAATTTTACCAAAAACTCTAACATTTGATAACTCTTATACTTTCATCATTTTCTAAAGGTTTGTTATTACGCAACCATTTCATATTTGAACTGTAATTATGAACTGAAGCCCCACATGTCATTTTGACTGTTTCCCCAACTGCAACCTCTGCCTCATTGCTTTCCTCATCAACATTAACAGTTGTGTCAAAACCGAAGATGTCTAAGCCATTCTTCACATCTGTTACGTAATACGCTTTGGTGATTTTATCCTCACCGATGGAATTTTGCGCTAAACATTTGATGTATCCTGTATTCAAAGAGTTAATCCTAACACGAGAAACAATCTGCAAGCCTCTTCTTTCGGCACTTGTTTCATTAATCTGTAATGGAAAAATGTTAGTTTTCAAATAGGTCGCGTATTTTTTCTTAAACTCACACTATGAAATTCGCAGGAGTTGTCCAAACACGGCTTAAAAGACCAAAATATGGTAGCTTCAGGATGAGCAGCTACAACACATCTAACTTCTCCCATTTGATTAACTATGTGAAACTCGTCACTTTCTAGAATTACTGAAGGTTTATCGGTGACATTAAGAAACAGAACCAGAGCTTTCGTTTCAAAGTCGTTTTGCGCTATGAGAGTGTAATTTCCGTAATCAGTGATTGCAATGTCTTTGATTTTCAAAAGAGCCTCGGATTTGGTAAAGCTTATTTCGTATTTATCTTTTCTTTCGTTAGAAATGGTTTCGTTGTTGTTGTTTAACCAGAATAAGTTGGGTTGTGGATGGCCGTTCACATCGATACGCCATTGGACTAGAGGTTCACCGGCTGTTTGAGATATTGAATAAAGACCGTTTTCTTCAGTTAGATTAATAAAATGTTCGTCAGGGCCTAGAAAAAAAATTATTAACAGATTTTTSTAACTGTGTTGAATCATTTACGATAAATGATGACATTGAGACTATTCACGCTGTTATGATTTTGGTTATCACTGACATTACAGTAGTACATCCCCTTATCTTTCAAAGTAGTTTGGTTGATGGTGAGTAACTGGGTGACCATGGAAGGGTCCAAAGCCGTTTTCTGTTGAGACGACAATTCCATTCGTTGCAACTTTACAAAGAAAGATTTAACAGAAAATTCAAAAGTTTTTGAAATGCTCACATCTGGTGGTCCTGTTGGTGTAATCCAGTTGATGGTAATAAACGTCAGTGCCTTGACTTTGCATTCCAAAATTAATTGTCCACCAACCACAGTATGCCCACCGCTGATTTCCTCCAACAGCGGTTTCGGTACAGAATGTATAAGCGCTAGAAATTTGTCAAAATTGCAAGAAACTAAACAATGCTAAGCAGATTAATAAGAAAATAAAAAAGCACCAAACCAACACCGAAACTGGATCAGACAGACAAGCCCCAAAGCCAGAAACATCGACAAACTACTTACGAGACACCTTAAGATAAAAGTTTATTTCAAAMTCAGTCGTTCCTTGTTCAAAATTACAAAAATATACCCCTTCATGCGCAAGGCTTGTAACGTAAAATCTAAATCCAGTTTTCGGGTCAAACGTGGTGTTTTCTACCTGGAAATAATAGAGTATTACAATCCTGGCGAAAACTTTAGAAAAAGCCATTTTCGCGAGGATTGGTTTTGGGATCATACATACGTTCCACTTCCATTATGATTGTTATAGAAAAATTGCGAAAGTCATTGGTGAACTTGCAGACGTAAAGTTTTTGGTCTTGCTCTTTGGTGTTGTTAGTAATGAAGCCGAAATGGGGATGGAAACGGTACATGATTCCCTCTTCATCAATTATGCCGAGATAGACCTTAGGTTTCTATCAGATAAGTTGTACAACTACATAAGTGTTAGTAGACCAGGCGATCTAAACTGCTTCCGGTTGTTAATGCATATGTACAAGCCGGAAGTGGTTAGGGAATTTTCATAAGTTATTTTAAGCTATTCATTTTACATAGGACAGGATTGTGACCAATACAAGGCTCAATAAGCATTTTTTTACAAAAGTACATTTACTCAGAATTTATGTTCTTGTATAAACAAAACATCCAAGGAAAAATAACTACAGAACAACGCTATTAAGGCAGAAGTGTACTTTTCTCTCTTACGAACAATGGGAAAAAAAGTAAATTTTTGCAATCATGCACATTGACGCTAAGAGCAGTTTTTTTTTCTAATCAAGTTTTGTATTTAAAGGAAAATTAATTATTAACTCAACATAAAAATACATACAGAGTGTCCCAGCGAGTTGAAAAAGTCCATTAGTGACCTTTAAATGGTAAAATTAAAAAAAATGTATAGGACCTTGATTGGTACTAATCTAGTGCATCACCTAAAATTATTTTCAACCATACAGCGTGTCCCAAAAATAAGTTATGATACAAACTTGTGTTATTTTAAATGAAACAACGTATGTTTCTTGGCATTTTTGGATGAAGCCTTTAAAAACAATGTTTTTACGCTAAACTTTTATTAGTCAAATTTGCTTAGTTTTAGAAATAAGACTTTTTTTTGACGAAAACATGCACTTTTTAAAAACTTATTACACAAAAATTAAGACAGCTAGAACACATTTTTTCTTACTTCTGCAAAGAAGAAAGTACTACAGAATTTAAATCTGTAGCAATTTTTTAGTGTTTTGCATTTGTAAAAATTAATAAATTGAGAAATTTGTTAAAAGTTAAATAACTTAAAAAATTTAAGTGGAACACCCTATTTTTTATTTTTAGATCAAATAGATTGATAAATTGTTTATCTAAAAAACTAAACTTTTACTGTCTAAAATTGATAAATGAAAAGTTTAACCTTCAATATTAATTGTAGCAATGCCTATCAATATCTGACCATTGTTGATACTCTGGCAACCGTAGTAATTCCACCACGGATCACTTCTCCGTTGATTTATCCAGAGATAATAAAAGTCGTTAGAAATACTGAAATTTGAATAATTTTATTGTAAAAATAAAGAATAATGGATAATAAAGGATTCAGTTTAACATAAATGTGATTATTAAATAATATTTCTTCCATCTCTTGTGCAACTGTGCACTTTTTGCCTACTGAAACAATAGTAATTATTTTTGTTTAACGTTAAATATCTTTTTAGTTATTTATTATAAACACCTAAAAATAAACATTTTTAGAAAGACAATTTAATAATCTTTTAAATGCAAAAACAATAAGCAGGGTGTTTTTCTATTTAATTTTTTTAGGTTATTGAACTTTTAACAAATGCCTTCATTTTTTTATCTTTGCAAATGCAAAGCTTGTATGTAATCTTATTCTTCGCGGAAGTAAAAAAAATATTTATAGATGTCTTTGTTTTTGTGTAATAAATTTTAAAAAAGTGCATGTTTTTTAATCAAAAAAACGTCTTATTTTACAAACTAAGCAAAATTGACCAATAAAAGTTTAACTTAAAAACATTGTCATAAAAATATACATTCGAAAACGCGAGACATATGGTGTTTCATTTAAAAAACACAAGTTTGTATTGTAACTTATTTTTCAGACGCTGAATAGTTGAAAATAATTTTAGCCGATGGACTAGATTAGTATCTATCAATGTCCTATATAATTTTTTTTAAATTTTACCATTTAAAGGTCACTAATGGACTTTTTCAACTCGCTGGGGCACCCTGTATATATACCAAAAAGAATAAAGTTTTGTCAAATGTCAAAAAATTGGTTTCATTCTTCCAAAAACTTTTGTTATAAAAGTAAAATAAAATTTGCTTTATTTACAGCATAAAAAATMAAATAAAACTAGGATACCTTAATCCCATCTATGTAGGTGAGTTCAACTTGCACGTCGGGAGAAGTTGGTCTGCATGGAATCACAGCATCGCTGTATTGAGTCACAAAAATAGTGTCTACGTCTTCCACAGTTGCAGATAAATGCTCATCATCTGGAATAATTTTTAGAAAAGTGTGGGGRTACTTTTAAAAATGTATTTACCTTTAATGTAAAGATAAATGCTTGCTACTAAATCGTCGTCTGAAGGATCAATATTTGTACCATGACACTTGTAGAATCCCGTAAAAGGGAAAGTGGCATTAGTTATGAAGATTCTGCTGGCGTATTTGAAAGTATTGTTCTTTGGTAGAACGCTTACGGTGTTTATGGTTGTCCAATGGGTGTAGTTTTCGTCCTAAAGGATTGTAACGTGCTGTTATTTGACTTTATTCTTGTGATGAAGGGTCATACCTTAACTTCTGGAACCTTCCACGTCAACGGGGTTTCCCCTTGACATAATACAGTGAAATTATCACCAACATTGATAATCGTTTCGTATTCCGAAAGAATTTCGGGTTTGATATAATGAAAACAATTCACTGAAATAAGAAAAATTCGTTAAAATTCTGCGGCTTGTAAAGTTCATTGTATCAAGAAGAGGATGTGTTAGATTTTCTATCGGTTTCGAGTAGGTTTCTGTTTCCTTTGATAGCGTTTGTTTTGTCGAGAGCATTTAGAAGTGGCAAAGACAAATTGGATGTAATGATGGTGATAAACGTTCCTTGATTGTTGGAGACAAACAAGTTGGAATCAAGAAATGGCTAAAATAAATTAACCCTCTATTTTTATACTTTAATAATAATTAATTAACACAACTGCTTCTGAAACAACTTTTTTGTTGAAAATATACCCTATTTTTTGAGAGAGAGAAATTACACTCTTTACTTAAAAAAATAGTTTGTTTATATAAACAGAAAAAAATTGAGATTACACTGATTGTTTAGGTAAAATAACGAATGTTTAAAAAATATCCAATCATATTTTTTAATATATACAGAGTGTTTCGTATTCATTGTTACAAATTTAAACAGGTGATAGAATATTCAATTCTAAGAGAAAAGTTTCCTATGAACATGTAGCGAAACATGTAGCAAAAGGGTGTAATAAATAATAATAATAAATTTTTATAAATTCCATAGCTTCTCACAAAAAAGAGGTCTTCTTTTTACCCCATACTCCTCCATTTTAAGTATAAAGGTTATATCAGTTYTACCAGATTTTGTAATTTTATTGTAAGAACCTTTTGGTTGTACAATATAAAATTTTACGGTAGATAATGATGATGATTAGCCTTCACAATAAGATGTCTTGACAAGGGTGGTTAGGTGATATTTACGACACCTCTCTGTGCGTCAGAAGAAAACATTTATATTTAAAAATTAAATTAAAATTTAATCGATATTTACAGTAAATATAAAGTGTTTATTTAAATTTGTGATATGAGTGTGTTGTGAACGGACCACAATTTTTAATACGCCCGGCGAGGTGTCAAATGTCAGATTAATAACTTTGAAAACGATGATTTGTTCACAATCACACTTTCATGGAAAGCTTTGACGCCAAATTTAAAAAGACACCCTTTATTTACTGTATTACAATTTGCCAATTTTAAAATTAACTCTTTTCCAAAATTCTGATACAATTGTTAGCTAGGTAAAGCGTTTGCAGCAACTCCGGTACTGTCTGCAATAAATCACATAACAAGCGTGCCAAGATGATCGGTTTGAATTTAGAGCAATCATAATAAAATTTTATGGTGTACAACCAAAACGTTCTTACAGTATCTATAATGGTTTCTGAAATATGTATTGGCAAAAAACTCACTAAAAACCAATTCAAGGGCTTCCTTAATAACCAAKTTTTGTCATCAAATTTAATGTTCTTTCGTCTGTTTAAATTTGTAACAATTAAAACGAAACACCCTGTATTTTTTCTTAATAAAGTATGGGTTACATCTCGTTAAAAACTACAACATTTATGTAATCGCATCCTCCCGAATAATCCGAATATACAAAATTCTGGGTAAAAAATGCGTAATCTATTTTTGTATACTACTTATGTGTAATAAATAACGGGTGTTTATCTAAAGGCGTGATATGAGTGTGTTGTGAACGGACCACAATTTTTAATATGTTTGGCGAAATATCAGATTAATAATAATAACTTTCAAACGATGGTTCGTTCACAATCGAACTTTCATGGATAGGTTTGACGCCAAATTTAAAAAATACCCGTTAGTTAATTTTGATAAGATTTTGGTTGAATAAAATATTTCCCAGAAACAAAAATCTATTTTTGAATAATTATGTCAAACTTACTATGATTAAGTGCAAAGATTACAAAGATAAACAATTATGAGTATTATTCTCAAATGTATCAAAAATCGTATCATATAGGAGCATAAAATTCTGCAAAACGATAAGTTGCGCATTTAAACAACACGACCACTTCCTTCCTATGACCTCAGCTTAAGAAGACTTACATTTTACGTTTTTTAAAACATAAGACGTATATAAAAGATATGAACGTAACTTCAACTAGAAATAGAAGCTGAATCATGTTTTGTTTTGTACTTTAGTTAATAAATAATATTAAATGTCACAGGTAATAAAGAAGTAAAATAAAACTGCATCAGCATTCAGTGAAACATAATTGTTATTTTATTCCAAAATAATTTTGCAAAAATTTAACTCGATATTTTTGGTGTAAAAATCTTTGTTTGTTTTTTCTTCAATCATTTGAACTTTTAATTTCTGTATAACAGAAGAATCTGTATTACAACTGGACTCTACTGGCACATTTAGAGCCAAAAAAACCCTACTCTTTCATACAAAAAAAAAACATTATGCTAAGTGCCAGAATGGCGTTAGAAATGACATGAAGTAATCTTTATTAATGATGAAATTTTTAGGTAGTTTTTATATTCTTTTAAAACAAAGCTGTCCTGAAAAATAAATTTGTACTTTTCTAATATGACTTTTTAATTCTTTATTATTTATTCCGATAAGAGATATTTAAAGTTGAAACTAATAGGACCCTTTTTCAGCGTATTTTTCATTCCTTTGTCAGGACAAAGAACAAATATTATATTTTTTTAACACAGACGTTATAGTTATAGGTATTTTAGGTTTTTKATTTTTTACGTTTTCATAGATTTACTAATAGAATAATACGAGTAGTAGYTTCTCAGAAAGACAGAATCTTGAAAAACGTTACTAAAACGTTTTTTTTATATCTATAATTTTTCAGAGAAAAATATTTCCCCCTATTGCAATGTCTTTTCTAAGGTTAGAGTAGGTAAGTACCAAGGTAGAATGTTATTCAAGTGATTTACTATGATCACTCCGAGGTTAACTACAATTTACTACGAGTACCTACTAAAAATATATTTTTTGTGTACTCAGTGGAAAACAGTGAAAATACAGGGTGTTTACGGTCTTGAGGTTGAAATTTAAATGAGATGATATTCACGGTAGAAGAAAACTGATAATTAATTTTGTATTATTTGTTTGAGAACTCCTGCTTCGACTGCAACAATGGGCATTATTATCATTACCTTGTAAATAATAATCACGACATCCAATTTGTTATTTTAATGTTTTTGCCATCCATGTTCATAAATTTGGACAAAAAATAATAAAAACGAATCAAACTTATTGGAAACCATTTCGCTGGAAGAGATTAAACGGAAGATCTTCGAATTTTGATAAAAACTAAAGCAAAAGCAAATCAAATGATGACAGTGTCAAAACTATCCATTGTCATGGATACGATTTGTTTATTTACAATTTTATCTGAACAAGGACATAATCCCAGTGACCCTCAAACCGTGTACCAATACTTTGAAGTTAAATAACATTCTTAATAATAACAATTGTGCGAGTTTTTTTTTCTCGGTTACAGTATTTCTGTACTATTCTATTACTAGGTCAATTTTCAATTCCAAGACCGTAAACACCCTGTATAATTGACAATTAACGCAATCGCCACACGAAGTTTGTTGTTGTTAATTGCATTTTTCTGAGTGAATTAATTTTGGCCTTATATTTTTTAATGACAAATAAACAAAATACCTGTTACCTAAATGTATTTTATTAAAAAAAATATTTACATTCATTATATCAAATATTAAGTCAAAATCTTTTAAGATAAGTGGCAGACAACAAATTTTCACTTCTATGTCCACATTTCAGTGTTATTTTTGATTATTGATATTGTATCCATCTTTAGCTATAAAAACAATAAATACATGTATAATATACATAGTAAACATATTTTAACGGTTACAGGGTACAGTACAAGTAATTCAATAGTGTCGGACATCCAACTGAGTTAAAAGTTTCCAAGACAAAAAAAACGTTTGAGCCTTTTATCACTACTCGAAGATGTAGCTCTTTAAAGATTAGATTTTGGATTAAGTTTTTGGCCGTTCCAAATATGTAATCTTGAATTTAGTTAGCGGAAACGGTAGATCTAGTAAGACTGAACAACAGGTATCTGTTGAAAACAATCACCAATTTCCTATTTGTGTCAACATTGGTAACAAAAAAAGGATACCTACATGAGAATATGAAAATTGATAATTCTGTTTTTTTTTTTTCAAAAAAAAATAATAAAACTTGAAACATTAATCTGAATTCATTTTTATGCTTAGCTTCGAGAGTTGGTCCGACATTTTTGAATCACCCTGTATTTTTATGCATCATCAATGTATACCTAAAGTCAGAGATAAAATATCAAATATTTACTTCAATAAAATTCAATTAGCCATACAAGAAAGTAAATAATATTCACGTGGTAGGTACAGAAATAAAAAAGATGACAAATGCAGTGATCCATGAGATTAGTCATCCAGGTAGCACCGCAGAATCATTTCACCTAAATACTTAGACACTTACTCAAGAAGAAGAATAAGTAATAAGTATTGGGTAACAACAACAAGAATGTATGCGAGAACATACGCTGCATTTTAATTACTTTTTAAAAACCCAACTTATTCGAAATTTTGACTACACGAACAGGATTTGAGAGACGCAACATGTTATTTGGAAATTCCACAATTATCACCGTTGTTTTCTATTTACACTTGAAAAACTTAAGATAAGAATTTTTTATAAAATCATTAATAATTCACCTTCATGATTACCTTGTCAACGAAAACAGAATATAATAATGTGCGGGTATCCACTTACCAAAAAGTGAAAGTTGGAGAAAAATAAATAAAACGACACAAAACAGATTGAAACTTAAGGCCATAACTAACACACAAATAAAATGTTTATTATTTTGTACCAAATGTCATTTATACGTAAAACTAAAGCATGATTTTAAATCTCGCGTCTTGTATTGAGGCATAAACTACAACTACTGCGTGATGTTTTCTAAATGTTACTGTGGTAGGTGTAACCCGTTTTCGAGTGAGTACGTCTTGTTAGGCAACTGTCAAAACACTAGTGCATCTGGAGAAGAAGATAACAAGAGATAATGTTGTTTTCGTCTACATGAGTGTGACGTGATAAGATAATCGATTTCCTATTCTCAAAATTTCTGATTATTTACARTGTAACCGTACCATTTGTATTTAATTATTCGGTAAAATGTGTTGCCTATGCATTTTTGAAAATTTTATTTGACTCTGCGGTGACGGATCACGCCACAGTGGGAAAGGGGGGATTTTGTGTTTTTTTTTGGGTTTTTCGAAAAGTGGGAAAACAAAGGAAGGTGTGGCAGTCGTCGTTGGGCAGGCGAAGAGTGAGTCGAAATTTGGTGGGTTTTGAAAATCGAATTTTGGAAATTGTTGGGATGTCGACTACACCCGGGGGACTTCCATCGAGGAAGAGAAGGAAGCGTCGTCGCTTGGAGGAGGCTGCAGAGGAGACCGTGGGGCTCAGGAAGATGAGACCGGACGCGACAGGGGGTATGACTAATTACGTCACCAAAAACGTAAATTCTGTATCGATATTACGTGAAAATTGAGCCTAAAATATTGTTTTCTTCATAATAATCATGATTGTTGTTAATTTGCCATGAGTTTTGTAAATGGATAATTCGTCTG